CCGTGTGAATTGGACAATGCAATCATGTCCTCTGTGAGTTATTATATCAGCAGTCTGGCTCTTAGTTACTGTAAGACATGTATATATAACGAGGAAGCAAATCTAACGTTTTAACGGATGACGTTTCTTCGTTATAATAAGATCCGTTGAGGCCGTACTGCTTCATATATGCTGTGTATGGATATGGCAGAATACTGCAAGATCGTTAACATATCTTCTCGTTAACCTATGAATTTTGGACAATCGTTAAATTTGCGACTCGTTATAATAACATGTCTTACAGTAGTTGGTAGTGTGTGATTGTGACTAAATAGAGCTGGGAAGTGTACGCGACAGTCAGGCCGGAGTAATAACAAGTAAACAACGCTGACTTTTTGGATCCACTTGCAATCAGATTTTGTGTGCATCCTTACTCGTTGGGTAGTTTCCTTGAGGATAGGATGACATCTGGGCCAGTACTGCTGCTGACTGGACTGCCTGTTCAGAAACACTCGCCAGCATGCGACATGAGGCACCTACCCTCCAGATACTTCACTTAACAATGATCCTAGTGTATCCCACTTGATCCAGAAATCATTTTGTCGATTTCTGACGTCATCAATTCCAAGCCATATATGGCTTTGTTGTCATGGTTACAGCATGTAGGTCGCCGGGCCGGGGTGCATGACCTATATCTGTGCAGTCATGAGTGCATCTCATGAGCCATTCCATGCTTGTCTGGAGGCTGCTACTTGTAATACACGTATGTGTGTGTGTCTGTGTGCAAAGTGTGTGCTGCACTTGTATGGATGATGCATTCCCTGATAAAAGTTTTGGCCCGGGGGTGAGGTCTGTTATCAAAGTCACACAGTGAGTTACTTTTCAGAAATTTACTGTCTACTGACAAGAAAGAAAGATGGAGGATGCACGCAGTACTAGTGGTTGTAGTGATTGTGGTGGAGCAATGGCCAGTGCAGAGGCATCTCCCTCAATTCTAGCACGTGCTGTCGTTCAGCAGTGTGTTTCTGCTCGCCTGCAAACCAACTACAACTCGGTGGGAGCTGACCAAGAGCGGGCTGAGTTTGTGCACATTGGACGGGGAATGGTGGTGTTCGTGTGCTTCCTGAAGCAGGCCTCTGAGGCAGTAGCAGAGCGGCTTGCGCTGAGCGTGCTGAAAGCGCGGCTGTGCGAGAGCGCTGACAGTGGGAAGAAAGTGTCAGTCCTGGATTGCTGTGGTGATGTACTGATTGTACCTCAAGCTACGCTGGGCGGTGTCCTCAAAGGAAAGCAGTTCCAGTATCATAAGAACAGCAGTCCGGAGCAGGGAAGCAGCTTGTTTGAGAAGTTCTCCAATGTAGTCAAACAGACCATGCAGTCAGGAAAAGCAGAGCGCACGGGCACTGTGGCTGTCGGCACGTATGGCAATCGCCAGGTTCTCTGTATGGAAACGAACGGCCCTTCCACTCATATCATTGATCTGTGACCGGAGCCGCTAAATAGTGCTCACTGCTATGGTGCTCTTTATCACTGCTTTCTTTCCCATTCCAGGAGCTCGTTGACAAAGTCAAGGCAAAGAAGTCTGCTGCTGCTGCATCCAAGTGATGTCTTGATCTTTTCGTGGCTCATGACGCTGTGCGGAAAGCCCGATGGTTGTTTTGTTTCATTTTATTGTTTTTGGTGAATAAGAAGTCCTGTCAGAGTTCTCGATCTCGTCCATGTCACTGGTTCTCTTTCGTTTGATTTCCCTTCCAAGCTCTTATAGTCTTACAATTCTCAGCCTCTTCTAATTTGTACATACACGTACGTACCAACAAACGATAACTTTTTTTCTATAATAATAATTTTTAAGTACTTGTAAAACATCGATTCCACTCGATCGTAGTGTTCATGCATATTTCTGCCACCATCGATATGCATCATGAACGTTTTCGCTCCATGAAATTATACCGAAATTGAAAATACAAATAAGATGCTGGAAAATTTGATAGGATCGTTTCTTGTGAGTGCATCTGACACGCAATAAGATCGTAGTCCATCATTCATTGGAAAACGCTTTGTAATCTGGAACCCTCACGATCACAATCAGTTCCCTGTTCACCATCTTTTACCAGGTACAGCCGTGTGCCTGGCTAAACGTACCTACAAGCTACTTACAATTAGACAGTGTTAGCATGGTTAGAGCGGAGATGGGAGCTGAGAGCTAGCCCTTGACATAGAATACTACATAGAAGAGGATTAGAATACTACATTCTCTACAAAATGTAGTGGAGGACATCGACAGCGAGCGCAAAAGTGAAAGAAAGATAAAAATTGATCGTGAATGCATGATCATCAATGGGAAAATGCAATTTTAGTCGTAAGATAACTACTTCCCTCTGTAGCTACATGCATGCACTCGTACTCATGACGTCGTCAATCAAACAAGATTACCTCGATGACTCACCCTTCTCGCCTTTTGTTGTTTCTTCGAGCTTCCAGTTTAGCATCGGCTCAGGTCTTGCAGTTGTAGAGCTTCAAAAAGAAAGTGTTGTCTGCGGAGTAGAGTGGGGATTAGTGAGAGCATTGATACAGACAGACAAGTCGTATTGTGCAGTCAGTGACTGGTTACATGCACTGGCCACTGGGGGAGTTGAGCAAGGCAAAGTAGCTGTCAGGGAACCAACAGAATAAGTTTCTACCAGCTGCAGGAGAATGGAGCCCTATCGGCCAGCGCTGTTGCTCCTATGGCTTGTTGTAGTGAATTGTGAATCCAGCCCTGGTAAACATGTAGCAGTAGTAGTGTTTAGTGGGCTGAGCGAAGATAACCTGGCGTCCCCAACGCTGGAGAAAATCGCCGAGAAAGGCGCTATGGCCTCCGTGCGCAGTGTATTTCCAACTGAAAGTTTCCCGAATCAGTACTCCATGCTGACTGGCCTATCACCCGTCACTCATGGCGTTATCTGGGATAGGATGTTGGACGAAAGCAGCAATAACATCGTGAATGCGGCCAACGTAGTGTCTGACTTGCTCCTTCAGGGAGAACTGATTTGGACAACAGCCCACAAAGAGAATATTCGGACTGGTGTCTTCACTTCAGGAAAGGTTGAATCGGGTGGATTGCTGTCAGCGCCATGTGAGAAGTGTAACCCTGAACACATTATAGATGAACTAGTGTTGTGGATATCTTCACAAACTAGCGACAATGCTGAAGCATCCACATTGTCTTTTGTTGTATTTCCTGCCTGCGAGGAGGCTCAGTTTGGCACCATTGCCAAGCACTTGATGAATAAACTGGAGCAGGAGCATCTAAATAGTTTGGTGGACGTCATATTCACTGGTGATCATGGTCTTGTGAAGGAACATGGCCGGACTGCTGTGTGTTTGCAGCACATTCTGCAAGGCAAATCCTTTGAGATCATTGACGAGACCGGTGGCAGTGTGAGCTTGCGTCCCACTGGCAATGATACAGAGTTTATGCTGCTACAAGAATTGGAGAAGGTGAAGGGTATCGATGTGCACCCATTCACAGAGTTCACGCGCCAGTTTGGGCTTGTTGGCAGCTCTCGCATTGCACCTATCACCATCGTGGCATCCGATGACGACCACGTCATCGTGAGTGGGAAATGCCAGGAAGGCAGTCCCGATGTGAAGTCTCCACGGAGTCGCAGTGGATACACAAGCTTAATGGCGAGAAGGACCACTCTCCTCGGTGTTGGCCCGCGGTTTGCAGCCGGGGTTCGTGCTCCCATGCTCAACATCACAGATATCCACCAGGTTATCTGCACTTTGCTGAACCTGAACACCGGTAACTGTAGACATAACACCTCCAAGCCCAGTATCGATGCGCTGTTGGCTTCAACGCGTAGTGATCTTGGAGGACATTCAAAGTCCGACATTAGCGATGGTATCTCAGTTGAGGAGAACAAGCCCGTGGTCGAGTCTGGCCATCGTCGGATCACCGGTGTGGGTGTGTTCTTTGTGATATTGACCGGGTTTGGATTCGTGGGTGGTCTTTTCTGGCTGAAGAACTTCTTATCGGATCGACGGCGACATGGCCCAGGATACAAGCCAGTTAACACAGATGAAACTATGCTGTCCGGCCGCACACAGCCGCTGCTGGGATCTGGCGATGACTATGGTGTCGATGTGCCAATGTCTGTAATCAGCAAGGACCAAACTGCATTCCAGCTGGATGATGATGATGACGATGATGATGATGATGATCGTCCACCTGCAGAGTTTTCGACGTACTCGTATTAGCCCCTGCGGAAAGCACTTTGGACGATTAAAAGAATTATTTGGGTGCATCCGTGTGAGCATGCGTATGCGTGTTATCAGCCTAGTCTACGAAACAGTAGAAGACAGTGACTTCATCAGGAATTGCATTGAGTTGCTTTACCGTCTTTGTCCACTACTTGATGTATATTTTATTTTTCGTTAAATAGTGTGTGGAATGCTTTGCTTCGTATCCATTGGCTGTTGGTTGTCTCAGTGTTTTATTGCTTGGGATGGAATAGTCGTTTTGTACATAAATCTCTTCTTGATCCAAGGTTGCTTTTTATAACTGGCATAATTTGCTTTATTCTTTTTTTCAGTCTGCATTCCCCCGCTGCTGAATTAGGCCTCTTGGCGCTCCATGCACAAGACTACTGTTCATTGTGTTTTATGACCCTGACTGGCCTCAAATGGTCCTTTCTCTCTTTATCTGCTATGCCTTCAATTTTTAAACAAGCCTTGGTGTATTAACTTCTACCATGAACTTATCTATACTTCAAGAGTACATTGTAGATGCATATCCGTATATGTTAGATGCTTTAGTTTGAACGATGCTGGAACATGGACGAGCACTTCATGTTTGCATCTTTGAATAGACATTGTGTATTTTCTATGTTCATGTGGACTACAGGATTGGTCATTTTCGTTCTTTCCTTTAGTGTATAATGAGTGGTGTGATGCACAATACGACCCGGGCCATTGCTATTGCCTACGCATTATTCAACGATGATTGGTGTTGCTTGGTTGAGCTGCATACATGCCATACTATTAACGTTATTATCTGCATGAATCAATAATGTTCGGTGTCGTTTGCACATATGCCATGTTATTATGCTATGATGTTCGGTGCATGTCGTTTGGTTGAGTTGTGCACGTAGTGCCACGTACATATGTCATGGCTGGTGGATGGCATTAGTTTTGGCATTATGATAATTATAATCTAAACCAGTGCTGGTACAAGTACATGACTGTGTACAAGTCCATGTCGGAGGTGACATTTGGTATGGTTCTTCGAACAAGAAAGATTAGTTTCACAGGTTCAGTAGATCCTTGTTATAGGACTAACTTCAGTCAATACCGGTATACGCAATTACACACCTATCAGCAGTCCCTGGACTCCCCTTTCACAAATACCGGTAATAGAAAAGCTGACAGGATCACTTTTCTAAATAACAACGGTATACAAGGCTCCACCTAACAGGACTGATTCTCGTGATCCACGTGATTCCGCCGGGCATGTTGGATGCATATTCTATTTTTATTTTATACTTTGGATGAAGTTTTCCATTAGTCCTATTGGTATTGTTGCTAACGGCTTTTGTTGACGTCACTTCTGTCATTTCATTGTATCGTATTACTCTTCAGACATCAATCCTGAATGGCATACGCGAAAGTGGTACCTACGCGGACATGCTTTTAATAATAATACAAGACTCAAGTATACTGAAAGTGTTTGTGATTCCTGCAGAAAATTCGAAGTTAGCAAGCCATAGTTCACTGTCCACTGCATTGCTTTTGGTCAGTTCCTCTTGCGTGAGCATGCTGTACTGGACGGTATAGAGTGCACCAAATCTGTCTAATCAAAAAGACTACCGGTATCCCAGGTGCTTATAAAGATACAAGTATAATTATTATACTCTTGGTCTAATCTGTACTCCGTGTGACAATGCAAACATTTGGACATACAACAATGTGCTGTTGATACATGTTTGGACCAGGGAGTTTTAAAATACGGTATTTTACGAGGACTCCATGATCCACCTGTATCTGAATAATCATACCCACATCAGGGAGTCACATAGGTACATCAGGTATACAACCGAGCCATATAAGCAGGGCCTATACAACTTCCTCGGATCCCTGGTGGCACGGTACATGTCATGAGACTTGCATAGTATTGCAGAGAAACAACTCATTTATGCATTGTAATAAAATGGGGGTATTGACACCGTATTGCTAAGAACGCACTATGGCCAGCGAACTCTTCATAGGTCCAGCTGCACTAGCTGGACCCGCTACAAAGAGTGTACACCGAAGCGTCCTACGCTGTGCTAACAAAGTGGACTTCTCAACAACATTTGCCAACACAAGCAAACTTCAAGCAGAACTACAACGCCATTACATAGTACTGTAGTACTGAAAACATAACTTGATAAAGGTGACTAAAGCGCTACCAGAGGCTACAAATGTAATAACATAAACGAGCAAAAAAAAGAAAAGAACTAAACTCTTTGAACAATAAAATGATTCTACCTTGGACCAGAACACGGATGTGACCAAGAGTGCATAAATGTTATGTACTCTCTGTATGACACAAAGCTGAATTAACAATATAAATCAAAGCACAGGACAACAAAAAATTCGCTAAGGAAGACTGACGAGATTCAACACACAATATGTTGGTAAAAAGAAGAAGAAAAAGATGAAAGATGGAACTCCGCTCAAGGTGCAATGAGTAAAATACAGAAGACCAGACTTGTCGGCGGACATCAAGTGTTTTGTTGTGTGTATGTACACGTGAGTCTCGTAGAGGTATATATATAAAGGCTAATAGTTGGACAGGAGACGGATGCAAAGGGCTTGCTTTGACTGTAAAACTGACTGTCACAAACACACACATGCGCGTGCACGCACACACACACACACGCACATGCACACACATACACACACACACACACACACACACACACACACACACACACACACACACACACACACACACACACACACACACATACACTAAACTACCTTTCTGCTAGGCAGCGTTCGTGCATTTCTCATCACTTGAAGCACAGGATCAGTTGTTAGCTTCTTCACACGCATCCACCCAGTCTGCGTACACGTCAACAGGCTCGGAGAGATCTAAGGCAATAGAAAAAAGCCAAGAAGTTCGGACAACACAATCATGATACGACATCGTTTCGCACAGGTATACTTGGCTAAATAAACAACTTCTCTGGAACAACCTATATTTTGTACACTTGCTGTAGAAAAGAAGACAGGGCGAAGCACAAATATTACTACGAGCTTCAAATCATGCTATAACAAAGCAGTGAAATCAGTGCTACAAAACTCAACAACACAAAAGGGGGTGGGTGCATGTACGTCAGCGTTGGACAAAGCAGCACCGGGGGGGGGGGGGGGGGGGGGGGGGGGGGTACTAGCAATCATACTTGGAACTGGTGTTCGAAGTAGTTTTTAAATATACTTACATGTGATACTTGTCTGGAAATCTTCTAAGCATACTCGACATGATATAATGCCCGTACTTCTTGCTCGATCCCTGCCACAGCACAGGAAAGCAGTCAGAAATGACAATATAGACACATGTAGATTCTGGGTAAAGGACATATTCACAACTACATTTGGCCATACTGCACCTATTGCCTATTGCACCTTAGTAAGACGAAGAACACAGACCTACTGTTGTCGAGCTCATTGAAACAAGAGGTCTCAAACGCCTCCTGCCCCTATAAGGAGAATTCACTACCTTAATTTTTGTACAATACTGTTGCATGCTGGTGCGGGGGTCGCGTACCTGAAGAAGACTGATTTCCGCTACTTTGAAGTACAACTAAATGCATCTAACTTTCGGGTCTATCCTTTGCGTTTCTCTTTCACTTCTGGGCTGGACCTAGCTGTTCATTCCGGAGGTTGTATAGTAATATGTTCTTTATTGAAAAGATGGCTTCTCCCCGTAAAACATATGGATAAGACCTAACCTACTAGTATACCACTTCTGCCAAGTTCTGGCCGCAAAAGATCAGACATCTAACCGGATGCGGACCAAGAAGAAAGTCATGCCAGTCCAAGCCAGACACAATTGCGAGCGGCCTCAACAGCTATGGGATCGACACAGAAGGCGCGGCGAGGGTATGAGCAGAACTTGTGTTTTGCAAAAAAAATCCAGAGGTTGGGCACGTTCATATCGTAATACTTCCTCTTTCGAAGTATGTTTAGTTTGAGGGACAGATGCAAAAGGGAAAAGCCTGAACAAAAAATGACTGCCACCACCAGGACTCAAACCAGGGACCCTCACTTATGGCCAGCGATGCTTTAGCATGGTGTAGTCATCATCCAAGCAGCGGCCGTTAAACGGTTTCTTCAGACTTCGAAACTCACGCTGACTTTGAATCCACACAGGCGGGTGGGACGCAGCCCTCAGTGTAACCCACATACTTCACATACCAACTAGCACGCGGGGAGCCCCAAGTCATAAAATATTCATTAGTTTGAGGGAAAGACGCAAACGGGAAAAGTCTGAAGAAAAATTGACTGTCACCACCAGGACTCAAACCAGGGACTCTCGCTTATGGCCAGCCTTTGAAGTATACCGGTATATCATGTTCGTACCCATATTAAACCGTAGCTTCCCTCAGAGAATACAATGTAGCATGTCTTGTACATAAGTTGATCCATCATTTCATTCGGCATCACCCAGGCCAAATCAAATGGACATGGATTCAACTGCACAATGATTGATGCTACTGTACATGTCAAGAGATAGTACAGTGCTAGGGAACATACGGGCCACCAGCTGGGGTTTGATGGACTCCGGCATGCGGAGAACAGTGCTTTCAACTATGAATTGTCCAAATCTCTGAGAAAGCCAACAAAATATTGCAGGAGACAACACAAATGACAAAGTCTGATATTCACTTACATAACCACCTCACAGGAACTTTCGTGATTGCAGAAAGGGCAATTGAAAACTTTGGATAGGTTGCCCGTAAGCTTCCTCTTAGGCGGCGGCTTTCTCTTTGACTTCCTCTTCCCCATCTCGGCACAGAAGTTTCTCACACACTCGGTCGTCCAGTTATTTCAATCAAAAATCATCTGTCAATCTCCGTTCGACAACGAATAGCAGAAGACCCAGATACGGCCGGGTATGGATTATTGTTTAGATCGATCTACAACGTGATCTGAAGTTACAGCTGCAGCAAGTGCCAGTGCTTCAGGTTCCAGGGTAGGGGCAGAAACAAAGTCAAAGATATCTCGATATTATCTTGTTCTCGAAATTGTTCATATTCTCAGCAACTTTTGAGCAAGTGTGCGTATCGCATATCGCATGCTAGCTGAGTACCTTTTTTGCAAAGCTGTTCTGTTCGATTTGCGCGCCCGCGCGTCGTATTTTTACTACTTTCAGTTCTTGCATGACGCAATGAGGTCATAATCATTATCGATCATCGATCAGGAAGGACGAAAAAATATTTTGAAATGCTCGCAAATCGAGCTCCGGTCATCAATTTCCATACAATTTATCAAATTGTCCAGGAAAGGGAAGAGTGATGAGTAGCGCTAGCGTGTTCTAAAGTAGCTGACTGCATTACAGTCTATTGTATCTCTCTTCGCAAGATGTTGTTTTACTCTTTCTTCAAGTCGCTGGTTGGAAAGGAGGTCGTCGTGGAGCTGAAAAATGATCTCTGTATCCAGGGAACATTACACTCGGTGGATCAGTTTCTAAACATCAAGCTCACTGATATCGATGTGGTGGATCGTGAAAAGTATCCTCACATGCTGTCCGTCAAGTCTTGCTTCGTGCGTGGTTCTGTCGTGAGATACGTACAGTTGCCCCACGAGGAGGTGGATGTGTCCTTGTTGCAGGATGCCACTCGCAAGGAGGCTGTGCAAAGTAGGCAACAGGCACCTTCTTCCTGAGTGATGAGACACATAGCTAGGTGCCTCATTGAAACCAGTTGAACGTGTTAGGTTTAGTTCTGTGTACCTTACGGTACGATGTACATATGTTAGTGTTGCTGCCTTCCACCTTTTTAAATTTGACATGATTTTTTTGGTACCGTACAAACTTTAATGATTTTACTGTTCTTGAAAAATGTTTGGTGTGCAACAGCTGTACTTACAGTTGATGCAAGTATGATAGCAAGGCTCGTTTCATTTTCGTATGTGTTCATATTCTGTCTCTCGTATTATTTTGAACTAAGAGAGACCTTGTCACTCCTACTGAGATGAATGTACAAAGACCTTGTCACTGCTACCGAGATGAATGTACATGTACATATTTTTGCTCAAGCTGATAATCTCTGTGGTTGTACAGTGCTGCTCAATGAAATCCAGTTGTGTCACTCAAGTTTGCGGCTTGCATCATTTCGCAGCCCAGTGTTCGGCTGCGCAACGCCCGGCACGTACTTGAGTGACGCGACTGGATTTCATTGAGCAACACTACATTCTCTATTCCGTGATGTGTGCCGTTGTTAGCAGGCATGGAGCCTGCCGCAGCTGTATGAACCTGGATTTCCGGCTCACCGCTTATTATGCCTGGTATTTTAGCTGCCAATGTTCTGCGGAGCTCCTGTGATACCATCATCATTAGCTGCCACGTCTTTCTCTTTTGCGGCAATTTGGGAAGTTAGTGCGTGCTGGTAGTCTGTAGACATGCTGTCTGGAAGTTGTGCATGGACTTGATGCTATTGCACAATTCATTTTGTTTCTTGGGGGTCCAGAACAACTTGATGTTTCACCGATATCAAGTTGTTCTTGAAGTGTTTTGACGCACTTCACTACGATTGCTGCCAGAATCTGTTTGCTACCCACTGTTTTGCATCTGTGGCCTATAGCCTAGTCCCTTTTCTACATTTCTGTGAAACGACGCCATTGAGTGATACAGTATACAGTAAAACCTGGCTTAAGCGACCACCCCACGGTGCAAGCAAAAGCGGTCGTTAAAGCCAGGTGATCAGAGGTCGCTTACACCAGGTTTTACTGTAATAGTACTTCGTAATAATTATTATAGTATCATCACCTCTGTATGCATGGCACCAGGGCATATCTCCAGCAAGGTTACAGACAGGTGTGCAAACCGAAAACGGTGTACATGTACATACATAACTATCTAGTATGTGGTCATTTGCTGGGTTCGACAGCTAGAAATTAGAATACATTTGAGTATGTGACATTTCACTTTGGATCTAGGAGTTGAACGTGGACGCATGCATTTAAAAATAACGATCTCCAGCAAAGTGAAATGTCACATACTCAAATGTCTATTCCCATACATAGTATGGTTGTGGGGCTTGCCAACCCCCCCCCCCCCCCCCCCCTTCCTTCCTTCCTTGTACCACTGCCGTGTCCGGCTATGTGACCCCCAAAGGGGCAGACTCGGATTTGTGCTGTCCATCAGGGCGCTCGATGGGAGTGTCTTATCGCGTTACATTTGTGGCGACTCTCATCCTGCCGTCGACGAAAACTACAGTGGCATACCAGGCATTGGAATGGCTTCGTTACCGGTTGAGTCCTGATGTTGACGATGTGCTCAACTCTATCATGGCACCTCAGACGCCATTCCTCCCTGTCCTGGGCGATGTCATTGCCCCCCCCCCCCCCCACACACACACAGGCCACGCATGCAGTTAGATTCTGATATGGCGTAAAGAATCTCAGAAGATGCAGCATACATGTAGTCCCAAATCTGTGAGTTCCTAGTACCAGAGTGTGCACAGCACACACAGACTACAATTTTGTAGGTGGATTGCTCAAGGCAGAATCAGCCAGCTGAAACGTAGGGCCATGTAGCAGCAATAGAACTCAGCTGCAAAATAAAGATCGATCGGTATGGTAGAACAGATTAGCAGTACCGACGACAGGCCATGGCTGCAAGGGACTTCTCCAGCAGAAGAGACTTCTCGAATGGGCTGAACTGTGCACACTTTCTCTGCTGGGCAACTGTGCTGCATGTGATTGATACCTGCAGTGTCACATACAGTGTAGAGGGAGCCTCATCAAGTTGATGCAGAACATACTATGGGGTATGCTTGTATGCTTGGGCAAGCAACCCAGTTCCAGTAACCATCATCATCAGCAGCTGCAGTCATAGACAACTGATAATACAGCCACCTTGTCCAGATCATGGCAGGCCGACCAGTGTGCGGACCTTGGACCACATGTCGCTCGCTTCTTGCTGAGCTCTTTCAGTGCCTTCGGTGACGATTTGGTCGACGTAGCCCTGATCGGCTCGAAGAGCTTCCAGTCTTTGTCTGATTGGGCGCACATGCTCTATGATGTGGTCAGCTACCTCTCTCTTGAACTGGATTGTGTTCTTTCCTTCACTGGAGGCAATGATTTCATCATACGACATGCCGGAGAAGGCTGAATGTAACGTCAGAAGGTTACTGACACCCGGACGCAGCTCAGGATCATAGGACAGCTTAATACCATGGCAATCCGTGGTGGCCACCTTGAGTTTTGTTAAGATCTCATCATCCGTATCGTCCAGGTACAAGCAGGCATTATCCTTCAGGGCCGACTTGCTCATTTTCTTCTCCGGCTCCTTCAAGTCACAAACTCGACATGCACTCTCCTCTGCACACACAACGCACACATGCACAGATGGTCATGTGCTAACAACACAGTCATACTGATTGCACACTGTCATCTGAATAGTAACATCTGGATACAGCAAGCACTATGCCTATGCCTAAACATGCACTATGCCATTCACAGAAAAGGGAACTATCCACGTAAGCATTGCCGCAACTCAAGAGTTTCCTGTGAACGCTACCATCAGACACTTGATCACTGCCAGTTCCACGTATCTGTACTCCGTGTATTGAGATTTGAGAACGCTGCCTCAGCAGTTAACACAGCAACAGTTAACACCAATCAAGTACAGGTACGACAGTGTTACTTATCCGAACTATCGATTTTCTAAAATGCCTTGTCACAATGAAGGGATGAGCAAACTAAGTTTTCGCTGCTGTTACCCCCCGTTCGCAGTAGCATAGCCACGGTGTGCAGGACACATGCCAGCAGGGTGACGTCATGATCTATCCACACTGGTCATCATTAGAGGAGCTGGAGTGTGTTGCATTCCTGCGGTACTGCAAAACTGGAACGATGGAATGTGCATGCTTCAGTTGGCCATTTAAATACTTGTATCTGCTCTCCAGGCTATCCGAACACCCTTGAAATGGCCATGTGCCCTGAGGGGCGCGGATAATAATTATTGGCATTCTACCGTAGTACAGGACTCTGGGGTGCCGAAGAACTGGGATCAGCCTGCTACCATAGTCCATAGGCCGTTCTTATTTTCATGTACTACAGTCTATGCACAGTTGAGTCACCGTATATACATTGGTATGCTGTGCTTCGTGAAGTCCCAGCCTGTTCGGTCTTCGGCACCCGATAGTACTGCAACGCTACTAGAATGAACACAATGAGCTCTTGGGTATACCCAAGTAAAGTACCGTAAAGTCGCGGATAAAAGCCGGGTTTTCATACAAGCACATCGCGGATAGAAGCCGGGTTTGCATACAAGCACATCGCGGATAGAAGCCGGGTTTGCATACAAGCACATCGCGGATAGAAGCCTGAAAATCACACCGGTCAAATGCATATAAGCCTGTCGCGCGTAGAAGCCTGGCTTCTATGCAAGCGCGGATCGGGTAGGTCAAGAGTGCATGCGCTATGTACGGTGCATAGTAAAACTGCCGCCATACCGGTAGTCAGTGCTAGATCTACGCGCCTGGCTTCTATGTGCATACAAGCCTGGCAAAAATATCAGTGGTGCATATAAGCATGGCTTGCATACAAGCCTGGTTTGCATTAACCCTTTGGAGTCCGTAACTTTTTTGCTTCCGCAGAATTTGTGGCAGTCACGAAAATGCGCACTCCATTTCCAACCTAACTTTGGTTCTACTTCACCGATTTTGAAGATCTTGGGCTCGTTGGAAAGCTCTTGATGAGAGAAATACAATGAGCCCAAACTCGCCAAGAGCACTATTCATTGTCCGCCACAACGCGCCCCAAACGCGAGTCCAGCTCCAGATCTGAGACTAAATCGGTCTCCTGTAGCCATTTCACTGAATCTAGCTCGGAACTGTTCAAATTTTTTCGAGTAGAAGCTTACCTTGCCGTGACTTCGCGCCGCGCCGGTCCTGGCACGTGCCGCAAGTCATGAAGCTGGGAAAATCCCTTTTTGTCACGCACTGCTGACTCGCAGCACGCAGCGCAGAAATTTCGAAATGTTTGATCGCTCGCCGCTCACTCAAACTTCATCGGAGAGACTTCGGACCTGTTCGAGGCGATAGATGAGAGTTTGTTGAATTTGGTCAAGATTTGGCTGAGAACCGAAAGTTTGACTGCGCCCACATGCATACAAGATGCCCATGGTTCGAAATCGAACCATGGACTCCAAAGGGTTAAAGCCTGATGCAGAAAGCGGCTTATGTGCTTATAAGCCCGGCTTTTATCCGCGACTTTACGGTAAATACTACTGCTACTACTACTATCAGCTTTGTATACAGAACAGAATTAGAAGTACTTCAGAAGTATGAATTACAGTATTGCGCTCTGAGCACAAGAAATGAGCAAGCCGGTTGAATTGACCCTGCCTATGATAAGGTGTTATGAGTCAAGACCATCTGGAAAGGACTTATGCTGTTACCCACCAATAATCGACTCCGGTTCGACGAACAGATCCGTCTGTAGCGAATGGTTGAGTGTTGTGACAATCGACTTAGCAAGGAACATGTGAGGAAGTTGATCTTTCCCGACTGGTACGTGACTTGCCCTGCACAATGGGGGTGCACACACACACACACGTACACACATGCACACACACACCTCAGACCTCAGACATGCCCATCGCGGAAGCGATGATAGCGAACAGCTATGTTAGACATAGCAACTTGTGCTGGGATTACACCATTCAACAGCTTGCAAGGCTGATGAATTGACCGCCGCTATTTTTAGCCTGGTATCCACCACACAGCTGTTTGAAGTGACTTTTTCTGGCCAGTGAATCCCTGTTTTCATTTTTTTTTTTTTTTACACACACCACACCACATACTCCGGCATACACTGGCTGTTGGTAACCACCCAGGAGAATGAAAGAAAAGTCAGGAAGAGTCCGAGAAAGAGAAGAAAAACGTGTGCGACCATGATCGTCGGGAATTGAACCCGCAACCTCTTGATTGGAAATCGACTGCACCATATGAGACACACACATACCCACCCACCCACGCACACACACACACACATGCACACTCGCATGCACATGCCATGCCACACAGCACACACACGGGGGGGGGGGGGGGGGTAGAGATTGACATGGCATGGACAGGGTGCAACTCCAAATTGGCACCACCCACTGTAGAACCACAGCGGCAAACAAAACAATTACGCAGTGGAACAAAAATCTCCTAAGTAGAAGGTGGAAATTCATTACTCATACATGTACTGAGTTAGGTCTAGGTTTGCGGAAAAAAGTATTTCAAGTACTTCACTAGTGAAGTGTAATGGTGACCCCCTCCACCATCCTGACTGACACTAGCTAGTATTCATGGTGTTGTGTGAATGTCTCCTAGTACAAGTACGTGTACTAGCTGCTTCTGTTCGTTGCTGTGTGCACTGTTTGTGTTCTTTCCTGTGTACATGAGTACTTGCATGGCGTTGTCGTTCAGGGATGAGTCGTGCGTGACTCCTTGTTCCACTGCATGTGCGGTGTGCTTCTTATCTTCTAATCTATAGGCTTCTTGCGGTTGGTGTCCGCTTTCTCTTCATGATCATGAGCCACTGCGTTGTATAGACTGCATGACGTGCTAACGGTGGCTGCCGTGCGGTGTGTGCGATTCACTGCATTCCTGACACTGCTGCTTGCAGGCGCATACATGTACTGCACCTTCGCGTGCTCTGTACTTTAGTCTTTAGTTCCGGTTCGATGCACCATGCGCATGCGTCCGGTATGGTGCGAAATGGTTCTTGCTCTCCCAAGTCCCAACATTGTTTTTAGTTAGTTCTTTTTCTTAGTCCCAACAATAACCTCATGGAATTAAATCAGTGTGAAACGTAACTATGAGTTCGGTTGTGGGTCTGCAGTAGTCCTAGTGACACGGTTATAGTACAGCTTGTGGTGCCGAAACCCGGGAGGACGTCAGGGATACCAGCTGGGTTGCTGGTTGGCGTCGTGGTTGATTGTACTGTCGCGTGTGGACTCGTGGGGAAACTGAATTTTCCGATCTAAGTACGATGTCGAAAGCTGAAGGATACCTGCGACCCTACCGGGGAAAGGTCGATGATTTCCAGACGTTCTGGGCGAAATTTGACGTGCTGGCGACAATCAACAAGTGGGACTTGGACGAGAAGAAAATGGCCCAGTTACCCTTGTTTCTGGTGCAGGATGCGTTCCTGGTGTTCAGCCGAATGAAGTCGGATGACAAGAAGAAGCCTGACGCCGTCCAGAAGAAAATGGAAGAGGCGTTTTGTATGACGAAGTCGGAAGCCTACCGGCGGTTCAAGGCCCGACGCATGAGACAAGAGGAGTCACCAGATGCCTATGTTGCCGATTTGCAGCGCCTCGCCAGTTTGGCCGGCGATGCGTCGCCTGGGGATGGCAAAAATCACTCCGTTGTTGAGCAGTTTCTTGACGGGCTTCCACATGCGTGGGCAAAGCAGGTTAGGTTGTCACTTGTGGGAAAGGACCAGACTGTGAGCGCCTGCTTAGAATTAGTCCGTGCTGTTCAGCTTAGCGATGGCGATTCTGTGACAGCTGCAGTAGGTACAGGTGCTGGAACTGGTAGTTTGGCTGGTGGAGCACGTGGCGACAAGACCAGCAGGAAGTCTTTCTTGTGCTACCTCTGCAATGAGGTCGGCCACATGAAGCGAGATTGCCCAAGGAGGAAGCAGGGGCAGCAGAGTGGGTCCAGCTCCAAGGATGGTGGAGGCCGTGGCAGTACGTGCTACTTCTGTGACAGGCCTGGTCACAGGAAGCCAGACTGTCCGGACCGGAAAGCTTGGCTGGCGAGCCGGCAAGGCGGGAGTGCTGCAGCAGCAGCTGGAGAGGAGCCTAGTCCAGCCTTGGCCTCTGTGTCTGTGCCTTCGCCAGGGCAGCTGCCTAGGATCAAGGTAGACATGTGGACAACGGGCAACAAGGATGATGTGTCACGTATGACAGCAGTCATTGACACTGGTGCTGTCCGATCACTGCTGACTAAGGACCAAGCCCTGTCCTGTGGCCTTGCGTGGTCAGAGTGTGAAAGCAGACTCGTGGCGCTGGATGGCCAGTCTATTGCTGTTCTTGGGAAAGTAGCCGTCAACATTGGACGATTGGATGGCCCTATCCCAGTGCAGATGCCAGAAGCCAGTGTGGAGCTGTTAGTCGTCAACGATCTGAGTGTCGTACACGCCGATTTGTTGATCGGTTGTGATGTAGCGAGCAGCTGTGGTGGCCTACATCTTGAGTATGCCAATGATGGCCGGCTGGAGAGTGTGAGGTTTGGGCCAGTGTCAAGTCCTGTGTCTGCTGCACTTCCTCAGGACGGTCACCCTTCCCGCCACGTGCAAGTGAGCCGTCATGGACAAGGTGTCACGTTGTCGGCACGTGATGGAGAGGTCCAATGGTGTCATGAAACCAAGCGTTGGATTCTCCGCTGGAAGTGGAAAAGTGGTGCAGCCCCTGAGGTTCCAGTGGGCTCTGGCATCGGCCAGTACTCCAGGGAGAAACTGAGCCCAGAGCAGGAGAAGTTATTCTGCAAGGAAGTCGACGCTTGGATCGCTAATGGTTGGCTTGTGCCGCACGATGAAGCCACACATGGAGCAGTGGCTGGTGTGCTTCCGTTGATTGCTCGCACCCAAGAGCATAAAGCATCCACCCCGATCAGACCATGCCTGGATTATCGTAAGCTTAATGAGCTCATTGAGTCTGAGCCTGGCTATGAAGCCCCCGTGTGCGCCGAGAAGATCAGGCAGTGGAGACGCAGCAGTGATGGTCAGTGGGAGATGCTAGACGTGAAGAAAGCATATCTCCAGGTGCATGTCAGTGCTGAGCTAGTGCGCTACCAGGCCGTTCTCTGGAACAACAAGGTGTACGTGATGACCAGAATGGGCTTCGGGTTGGCGATTGCGCCGAAGTTTATGCACCTCGTCATCCAGTGGATCACTCGCCATTGCCCAGAAGTCGACAACTATGTTGATGATATCCGAGCTCCAGCAGAAGTGACTCAGTGTGTTGCCGACGAGCTTGCAGCCTATGGACTCCCAACGAAGCCTGCCGAACCCATGGAGGAGTCCCGTGTTCTTGGTATGCAACTGAAGGCTAATGTCGATGGCGCCATGGGCTGGTCCAGGAGAGAGATCGATCTAGAGCCACCACCTAAGATGACAAGACGCAAGGTCTTCTCGTGGTGTGGACGCCTTATTGGCCACTACCTGGTCTGTTCGTGGCTCAGGCCTGCTTGCAGTTACCTGAAGCGGCTGGCGACTGCTGCAGGTGGCAATGGATGGGACGATCCACTGCCGGAAACCCTTGTTGAATGCTGCCAAGAGCTGTTCGCGAGGCTCTCCTCCGACGATCCGGTGCATGGTCAGTGGGACGTGCACGCGCAGGCTGACTCCACCTGGACTGCGTGGTGCGATGCATCTGGCCTAGCTATTGGTGTCGTTCTTGAGCTCGACGGGACCGTTGTGGAAGATGCATCATGGCTTCGGCCTGCAGGGGACAAGCTCCATGTAAATGTTGCTGAGCTTGACTCTGCCATTAAGGCCCTCACGCTAGCCACGAGGTGGAACGCGACGCATGTGGTTCTGAAGACTGACTCGAAGACTACTGCGGGATGGCTGGCTCCGGTTGTTGGTGGGTCACGTCGCGTCCGGGTTGGTGGTCTGCATAAGGTTCTGGTGCAGCGTCGGCTGCAGATAGTCAATGATCTTCTTAGCATGACGGAGATGCAGGTGACTGTGGAGTGGGTGCCAACGACTGAAAACCTTGCAGACTAGCTGACGCGCGTGCCGTTCAACTGGCCGAAGAAGAGCTCTGATGTTGTGGCCAGTCTGCCGAGGGCTGTGGCTGTTAGCCCTTTCTCTAGAGATGAGTTGGGCAAAGCCCAGGCATCGGACGAGGTCATCCAAGGAGTGATTCAGCAGATTCAAGTTGGCCAGCCAGTAGCAAGTCGGCGCTTCCGCAGTTGCGCCGGTCAGCTTCATGTGGAGGAAGGCCGCCTAGTCCGGAGCCTGAAGCTGCCTGTGGAAGGGGAAGTCAATGTGCCAGTCGTTCCCGAGTTGTTAGTGCCTGATGTCGTGACTGCTGCTCATGTCAACACTGGTCATGCTTCCTGGCAGCCAATGTATGAGTTGCTCCGCAAGCACTGTTACTTTCCTGAGATGGCGTCTGCCTGCCAAGACCACGTCAAGGGGTACCAGAACTGCCAAGCCGCTAGTCCAGCAAAAGGCCCTGCAGCCCCCAGCGCCAGAGCAGAGATCCCAGGTCGACCATGGGGAACAGTGCAAATGGACACCCTGGAGCTTGGGCTGAACCGTGGCGGGACACACCACTGCGTGCTCGTGTGCGTGGATGTGCTGACAAAGTGGGTGGAAATAGTGCCAATGAAACGGCACGACGGGCCCAGTGTTGCCTCGGCCTTCGTGAGCTTGTGCTGTAGGTGGGGACCACCAGACGTCATCCGTGTGGACAATGGGACTGAGTTCAGCAATGCCATTGTCCAGTCTGTCTTTCAAGTGTGAGGGTGAAGACAGGTGCCGTTCGCCATCCGCAATCCCAGGGAGCCGCCGAGAGGTACAATCGGACATTGCTGACTCTCATCAGGAAGGTCCTCGACGAATCATCGGACTGGATGGACGATCTCCAGATGCTGGTCCGCTTCTACCGTTCTCGACCGCATTCAGTGACTGGCATGTCCCCAATGATGGCCATGGTTGGGTGGGACCCACCTGTGTTGATTGACGATGGACGCCCTAGGTACGACTTTGACACGTGGCAAGCAGAACACGCAGCACGATCTGCTAGGATCCGAGACCTTCTGGAAGACGCCATGTCGGAAGGCGACTGCCATGACGAGGTGCTGCCCTGCGCTTACCAGGCTGGAGATGCAGTCATGCTGCGGATGCCTAGTCGTCGTCAGAAGCGATTGCCACCTTTTGAATCCGGCTGGACTGTGAAGAAAGTCATTTCTTCATCAACTGTCGTGATCTGGCGGAGGTCTGATGGTAGATCCCCTCGAGAGAAGGTGGTGAACGTGGAACTCATCAAGCCGGATGCTCCACGGCCAGGTCTGGAATTGCCAACGGAAAACTTCCCTGATGGAGATGACGGCCAGGAGGGTGACAGCTTCAAAGCAGATGGCTGGCTTGGATGGCTCCCTGATCCGCAGGAGCCTGCTGCCGATGGCCAGCATGTCCGCATGGATCTTCGAAACCGACAAGGCATCCAGCGACCAGCTCGCTTCCAGGATTGATGCTGCTTGGCAGGAAATGTCACCAGGCGGAGGGATGAAGTGTAATGGTGACCCCCTCCACCATCCTGACTGACACTAGCTAGTATTCATGGTGTTGTGTGAATGTCTCCTAGTACAAGTACGTGTACTAGCTGCTTCTGTTCGTTGCTGTGTGCACTGTTTGTGTTCTTTCCTGTGTACATGACAGGGGCGTGCTCGGGCCCCCAACTAGGGGGGTGCACGGGAGCCTAGGGGGGTGCACGGGAGCCGAGGGGAGCCCCCCCCCCCCCGGCAATTTTCTGCAATTTGTTTGCAACCTTTCTTGAATTTTAGAGCATATTTGCATACATTACAATTGCAATTACCCAGATTGAAATTTTTTGGGGGGTGCACGTGCCCCCCGTGCCCATCGCCGAGCACGCGCCTGCATGAGTACTTGCATGGCGTTGTCGTTCAGGGATGAGTCGTGCGTGACTCCTTGTTCCACTGCATGTGCGGTGTGCTTCTTATCTTCTAATCTATAGGCTTCTTGCGGTTGGTGTCCGCTTTCTCTTCATGATCATGAGCCACTGCGTTGTATAGACTGCATGACGTGCTAACGGTGGCTGCCGTGCGGTGTGTGCGATTCACTGCATTCCTGACACTGCTGCTTGCAGGCGCATACATGTACTGCACCTTCGCGTGCTCTGTACTTTAGTCTTTAGTTCCGGTTCGATGCACCATGCGCATGCGTCCGGTATGGTGCGAGATGGTTCTTGCTCTCCCAACATTGTTTTTAGTTAGTTCTTTTTCTTAGTCCCAACAATAACCTCATGGAATTAAATCAGTGTGAAACGTAACTATGAGTTCGGTTGTGGGTCTGCAGTAGTCCTAGTGACACGGTTATAGTACACTAGTAAAGAGAACATGGTACCTGTAGAGGAGAATATCAGCAGCTTGGAGGAGTGGGTAGGTAACGAGGCCCATCTTCGGAATCGTGTCCTTTGCTTTGTCCTGCAACGACGAATGGAAACACATACAGGTAATGGGAGGCACACTATGTGTGTACAGTGTAGTATGTACTATGTGTGTGTGTGTGTGTGTGTGTGTGTGTGTGTGTGTGTGTGTGTGTGTGTGTGTGTGTGTGTGTGTGTGTGTATGTGTGTGTGTGTATGTGTGTGTGTGTGTGTGTATGTATGTGTGTATGTGTGTGTGTGTGTGTGTGTGTGTGTGTGTGTGTGTGTGTGTGTGTGTGTGTGTGTGTGTGTGTGTGTGTGTGTCCCATATGGTGCAGTGGTATGTGCAGTCGATTTCCAATCGAGAGGTTGCGGGTTCAATTCCCGACGATTATGGTCGCACACGTCTTTCTTCTCTTTCTCGGACTCTTCCTGACTTTTCTTTCATTCTCCTGGGTGGTTACCAACAGCCAGTGTATGCCGGAGTATGTGGTGTGGTGTGTGTGTAGAAAAAAATGGAAAAATGAAAAATAGGGATTCACTGGCCAGAAAAAGTCACTTCAAACAGCTGTGTGGTGGATACCAGGCTAAAAATAGTGGCGGTCAATTCATCAGCCTTGCAAGCTGTTGAATGGTGTAATCCCAGCACAAGTTGCTATGTCTAACATAGCTGTTTGCTATCATCGCTTCCGCGATGGGGATGTCTGAGGTCTGAGGTGTGTGTGTGCGTGGCACATTGTGGTACGAGACACTGACGACAACCCCGGACAAATACTATAGCAACAACATTGAACATAGCAGGTACACTTACCTTGACCTGTGGCATGCTATTGAGGCCAGTTGATGATGTATGGCACATTATCAGCCATGCTAAATTGGTATGTTCCAGTACCTGCAAACAAGAAGCAAGAATACACTTGGCCACAAAAAAAGAACAGTTCCCGTACTTTTTTTTTTTTTATTAACTTCAAGCTCACGTGTATGCATGTGCATGTGTTTATTACTTGTACAACAATGGATATTCATGATATTGGCGAGGCGCTAGGCGGACATAAAACTGAATCCAGAAATTTTCTTATCGATTTTCATGAGACGTTCACTCATCAGGGAGGTCATCTCAAAAAGAAGTAGGTAGGGAACATAATTATAAGGCCAAAACAAATACTGACCTTGTTTCCGGTCGCCCGACCGGGCCACTTTTTCCCAAATTCTGAAACTTTTTTTGGTCCCAAATGTATACGAACGATGGCAATGCCATGTATGCAAGTGCACTCAACGAGTCATAACTCAGTCAAATCTCAACCGAATTCCACAATCGAAACACCTACAAGGTAGCAGAGATTCTCAGATGTCGGCTCGAAAACCTCCGGGGTCGATACGAGCTAGAATAACGGAGCTGGAAGGACTCAAACTGTTTGCTTGATTTCTCAGGATGTACGAAAACAGGAATACACCATATGCTGTACAAGAACAGTGAGTCAGTCAACTTTGTGCCATGATATATGTACAATGTACATGTGTAGGTGCTCTTGTCCATCAATACCACAACGATTGAGGAACCAAAAAAAGTATCCAAAAAAAGTTTCATTCCGGCCGACCGAGTCTCCTTTTTGAGGGGTTGCCGACCGGAAACAAGCATATTTTTTTGTTTTGGCCTAATACATGTATTTCGAAGTACAGTACTGGACGTCTAGGGGACAGTGAGAATCTGTCTCCCGTGAATTTCGCAGCATAATATCAGAAATTCTGCAGTAACTCTGCTAATCGGCTCGTCAGCTGTGCATTTCTCGGGGTCCGCTACTTGTCTATATTGAGCACTGTGTGAGCAAGCTCCACCTTTCGGTACTGATCACAGTGTGAGCAAGCGCTGCCTACGGTATTGAGCACTATGTGAGCACGCTGTGCCTGTAGGTATTGAGCAGTACTGTGCAAGCGTTGTCTGTAGGTACAGTGCTGGCCAAAGAAATCCAGCCTCATGAATAAAACAGCGCCGGGTGCTACGCAGCCCTAGCACTACACATACTGGCCTGTGCACTCGAACGCGGCGCTACTTTATTCATGAGGTTGGATTTCTCTGGCCAGAACTGTACATGGCATGAGCACGGTGAAGATAATCTCTGTCTCTAGGTGCACACAAGAGGCACAACGGAGGTTTACAGAGTTCGTTGCAACTCCGAGTGTCTTGCACAATGCAATCATCCTGAGGCGACTTGGTATTGAGCACCCTTCAAAGTTCAAACCATGACACACGACATCTGTTTGTGGAGCATGCCACTGCATGCACTCCACACCACCAGAATATCAGGGTGACGAAACGCACATACCTTAGACTGGGGGAATATGACGCTCTTCTTGGGGTCCAAGCCGCATGCCAGCAACACACATGCGACATCATGAATGCTGGACTTGAGCGCCACGGGATCTTGTGGAACAGTCAGCGCATGCAGATCAACCACACTGTAGAAAGCCTGGGCAGCAAACGAGAGGCAAGCAAATACACTCATAACTCGTTTATCCGGAGGGTCTGGGACCCGGCACTGCCAGTAACTTCGAAATGTCCGTAATTTCGAATCACATACATTTTAAAGTTGGTTGTTCCAACGAGGAACACACGCTTCTTGCCGACACTTGACTGACCAACTTCATGACAAATACCACCGAAGTCGCAGCTTCTAAGTTCACATACATTTTGATGGGGAAAGGCCATAAATATGGCATCTGACGTCACTAATTCCACAAAAAGTGACAAAAGAGTAGTAATATTTCCACTGAAACTCGCCCAAAGGGTGCCCGGTAGATGGAAGAGCCCGTAACTTCGGGGTCCGGATAACCGAGGTATGAGTGTACATACATATACAACGGAGCATGCAACGCCAGAATTACCCAGTCCGCATGTCAGGGAGCGCCACAGTTTCTCTAGTTCTATAATCTCTACGGGATCTGGGACAACTCGTACATGTACATTACTACCATTGTGAGGACAATTCTGTTCCATTTCCAAGACCTACATTGTATTGGGGAATGATTTTTGCCGCCAGTTTGCACAGCCCTTGCTAGAGTAAAATACACGAGGGGCATCCTAGCACGTCAGTGCCTTTTAAAAGCGTACCATTGCATCATTGTAGTGTTAGTTTGTGTTGACCATGGCCGGCGGTAATATCAATGCAGAGAACGGTGATGTGATGATGGCGGTGCGGCCTTGTGGTGCAGCAATAGGTCAGAACAAGAGTGCGTGTATGTACTGTTCGCTGAAAGGTCAGTAGGAGTGTGTCAGACACAGTTTCCGTGGGAGTTGTCTCAATAATGCATACCTCAACGGAAACCCTTACCGCAATGGTGATAAAAAAAACCAAAGTTGGATTTATTTATGGCCAAAAGCTAGAAGTCCATCATTTTATGAATGGACTGTATGCACATGTGCAGCTGCAGCAGGTAAAATCCAAACTGATGTCCGATTGCAGCGCCATGAGGTACCTGGCCTCAACATCCTGCTGTAGCACACGTACTGGTACACCAGGACGAGGTCATCAGAATCGGTTTGCAGCCTTCGGCCTGAAAGCGTATACGTTCGAATTTCACTCGCCACAACGGCATGAGCGAGCTCCTTTAAAATTGAAATACGACTATGCACTATACCAAGAGTCCATAACTTATGCCATGTTATGGGGTTATGCACTCTTGACCAGAGTATACCAGTCCTTCTACATGTACCGGTACAAATTTACAGGGGAATGTGAAACTATTATTGGAAAACTGATTTCAGCCCTTTATTACTTGCTAACATACTCAGTCAAACTCAGGAAATAGCACTATTAATATCACTCAGGTTGCAATATTCAATGATATATAGACATATTCATAAATGACATATCTTCAATACCAAGAGTACATGAAAACCGGTTTTCATGTACTCTTGTCAATACCCATGAGCTACATTATGATAATTATATCATTACATCATCGTTCTAGCTCAATTTTTTCCCCTGCCATAGTCCTGTTTATCATGTTCAGCATAAGCGAAGTTGTGGATCATGCTTGCATGGTTGACTCCAACGCGTACATGCAAAGTAATAACAATAATAATAATAATAATAACATACTAGAACATGTATTATGAGCACGCACTCATATGCGGGTAACTTAGTTTGTCTTACTGATTTCGACTGATCTTGTAAACGGACCCAATTCCGCAAAGCACCCAGATAGTTGCCAATGTGAGGTCTCCCAGAAGGCTGAATGCCAGAGAAAACGCGATCATATATTATTTTAGAGGCCATGGCAAGCAAAGTTGCTCAAATACTACTAGAAGAGGGGCAAGCTAAAATACATGTAGCTGGCTGGCCGAAGCCTTTACGTTCCGAACCGAATCAGTAAAATGAACATAGTCATTGATTCAATATTCAAAAAAAATCGTTGTGCAATAATAATCATTGGGACGATCGACACCGCCTTAGCCGCACAGCATGCTGTACGTAGCAACACATGCTGCAAAAACTGTATAATATAGCGTCGCCTGTCACCAGGTCACGAGCTGAGCTCATGCTCATGATCGTGCACATAATGTACATAAGTCATTATACATAGCTACATGTAGCCTACATTGTCATTGTGGGAGTGCAGTGGGAGTGAGTTGCTTTTTCCGTTCTTCATTCAATGGAAGATTTGATTGAGACAAGTTTCATTCTTCTCTAATGTATTGTTAGCTTGCTGAGTCCGAAGAGAAAATTAATAGTATTTACTGTTAGTCCTGGTTTAGTTGTCGCTTATCTTCTTTCAGTGGCCTGTACTCTTTTGTAGTTGCGTAGGCCTGCCGCCAATCATGGCTTCAACGACGTATGTAAACCAGGAATTGGTGAAAGAACAATAACACACCCACACAGAGTAATACTAGTCTGCATTGCTTCTTTCTTCTCGTCACACAGGCGCCACGTTTTGGTGACCGGAGGTGCTGGGTATATCGGCAGTCATACGCTGGTGGAGCTGCTGGCTGTATCGCAGAGTGGTCCAATCAAATACGTTCCTGTTATCCTAGACAATTTGTCCAATTCTTGTGAAGGTATGTTGGGAAATTATTCAACAATTCTTGCCCTGCATTGTGACCTGTGCAAGTGCATGACTGTACTACCGTCTGTCGCACCTATCAGATAGACTCTCTGTACAAAGTAAGTTAGTGCTCTGACTGTCATTACTGACTGGTACATGACCCCCCTGCAGGGTTCTAGCCAGGTCAAAATAGTAGGGGCGGGCAGGGGAAAAAGTTCAAAATGCAACGTATGGGGTGAACCCCAAATACTTCTCCCCAAACAAATATGCCTTTATGACCCCTCTGCTAATGACTATCAACTGCATTTTTGTTAAATTCCCTGAAAAACACAAAAAATCGACAAATGAGTAGGGGGCGGGGCACATTTTCACAGGAGGGCGCTCAATCAGAGTAGGGGGGGGGGGGGGGGGCTACGCCCCCCCCCTACCTTCTTTTGGCTAGAACCTTGCACTGTTCTGTAGTCATTGAAGTACATACATGTAAGTGTGCAATATGTACGTGTGTATAATTATGCACATGTACATTGCTGCATAGTGCCGTAGATATTGACGTCAGCGATACACCCAACACTAGTACATTTCATAAACATGGACGTATGAACCTGTACAAGAGTGCCATGCAGACTTCTCGGGTACTCCCAAACCGGGATTTGAATGTGCGTGTCCTAACTCCCCCAGGCCCAACTTTTAAAAGACGTGTCACAGCATGCATATGAATACATGTACTGCCAAATAAGTAATGTTTGCGATTTATGCAAGGGGTACCACATCGGAAACTTGAATTGTGCAAACTTAAAAGTGCCATAACGTATTGTCGATCCACCCCCTCTCTAATTTCCGCCCCCAGTCGAATGTCGGCCTTTGAAGCGACTGCGTAACACATGCTTCTAAGTTCCCCTAATGCCGGCGCGGCTTGCCGGCTGGAGACCACCACAGTCTCTTAGAAATTTAGAGTCCTGATTTAGAATCCTAAAACTCATCAGAAAGTGTTGACTTCGTTTCTAACGAATAAAAACTACATCCTGTACAGGCAGAAAATTTCGTCGGTCAATAATTTTGTCCGACTCCAAAGAAAGGGAGTTGTAAATTTCGTCCATGGATCACAAGAGTGTATTGAAAAGCTGGACAAATCGACATTAGGCCGGCATTTAGTTTAGTCCAGAAGCTCATTGGACGAAAAAGACGAACTTAAATTTCAGATGGAATATTTCTGCTTAGACAGTAAGCAGAATTGTGAAGCAAAGACAAGTCCAATGACCCCGCCCCCCCCCCCCCCCCCCCCCCCCCCCGAGAAGATCCTCAACTATTACCTGCAGGAGACGGCTAGACCTTGCCGGAAAATTGCGGGGGAAAAGCTGTGCGCCTATGTTGTTGAAATGCGCTATAGACTAGTAGCTGACCGTGTAAACCTTGCTTGGTGTTTGTGTGGTTCCTTGGCTACGCCATGTCTGTGCGTGTTGTCACGATGCACCAACGTGTGGCAGGAAACGATGAGGCTGCCCGCATTCCAGGTCTGTATACAAGACAGCTATGAATCCACAGTCATGTGTGCACATCAGTGCTAGGCAATACAGCCATATACTAGCGTACTGAAGTTTGCACTCAGCCAATGCAACTGCTAGTCAATGCGTGGCCCATGCCTTCAGCGGTAGCCTGTAGCTACCGCTGTAATTCTTTGGTCCAGCTCCTCTCATATCGCACTGCGATCTATTGTGCTTTGTGGATATGCCTTGCATAGTGCATCCTGACTGTTTGTGTACGTGATGCTGGAGCATTTGGCTGTGCTTCAAGTGTAGACTTGTGAAAGGCTTTGAAGTCGGTTATCCCGTTGTTGTGCCGCCTTCATGTATTGCATCTGTGCTTGTGTTTGATATGTGGCTGTGTTCTTGCTGTAGAGAGCGTGAAGCGCGTTGGTGAACTGGCTAGCTGGGATCCCATCTTCCATCAAGTTGATTTATGTGACATTGATGCTGTGCGTCAAGTCTTTAGCAAGGTACATAATACTACTATCTCATGGGATTCTGCCTGGAGGTTGGCGGGCTGTGTTCTCGCATAGGTAGACTAAATGAGCACCAAAGTCAGTACCTGCCCAACATTTAGTACGGGTGTTACCACTAAATTCGAATGTATGTACATGTACATACTTATTTATGGACTTTTACGGTTGTCTGTGTTCTTGCTGTCTTGATGTCATTCCATTGTGGATGCGGGTTTTTTTCCTTTTTCTATCCGTCTCCAGTACCCGTTCCATTCTGTTATCCACTTTGCTGGCCTGAAGGCCGTGGGAGAGTCGGTCGCAAAGCCACTGCGCTACTACCAAGTCAACCTCATTGGTGCCATGAACCTCATGCAGGTATGTTCTTAGTCGCCCTGTAGCACACAAATACCGTATTTCCCCGATTTAATTTCGATATATTCACTTCGGTAGTATTCATGCTCGATTGTAAGTCGCACCCCCTCTGTTGGTCCTGTAGTTTAGTGTAACATACCAAAAAAAAGGTGTGACTTATATTCGGGGAAATACAGTACGGAACAGTATGATGCAGAGTGGCCAGTAAGAGTACCAGGCCAAGAGTACATCAGCACCAAAGATGAGATGTGTTATTATTGCTAGCATGTTCGTGTTGAAGTGAAGCAGCAATTGCTGAATCCACAGCTTGTATCCTGAACGGTGTGGATCAGAGGGGATAGGTACTATGCCAGAGTATGTAGCTACAGTGCTGCCTAAGTGAACTTTCTGATTGAGTGAGTCAACTTGGTGCCCTGCACCAGTGGCCATCCCAGTGTTGACAGGTGTGTTACTACTGTAGGTGCACAACACCCGGCATGGCGTACTTCACTCACACGATTGGATTTCATTCAGCGGCACTGTACGTACCCAAACCCAGCATTGGACTGGATCCTGAAAATTGGCTTAGTCCGGCCGTGCAAGTATGAGTAGCAGGCACGAGTACATGAGCCAGAGTGTGTAGCTCAGCATACCGTAATGTCGCGTATAAAAGCAGGTGTTTACGGCCGTATAAGCCGGGGTTCAAACCATGCTTCTACGTCAACATCATCAGTCCACGCTGTGCAGTGCATACTGCCACGTAGGTACTTGCACGTATACTTTGCGGAGAGCGGCTTCTATTCAAATCATGCTGCTGTGTCAAGGCGCGCTTGGAAAAATCGGCTTCTATTCGAGTCATGCTTCTATACAAGTCATGCTTTTATACGCGACACTACAGTATGGGTTCAGGAGAATATTTCATCGTATGCCATTTTGACGGCAAGGTATGGTGAAGGTTGATGCCACAGGACATGCTGCTGCAGCGCAGAACTGCATTTGGAAGTGTCTTAGCTTCCCTGGACCAATGCCAATCGACGCAGCACCCCGTGTATGTCTTGCTCCTGTCTTATATGTACTACTGTGAAGTAGATTCAACATATTTCCAAGCAGCTCCTCACGCAGGATCATTTCTATGCTCTATGTTCTGTTGAACTAGGTAATGGATGAGTTCAATGTCCGCAATATCATTTTCTCCTCGTCGGCAACCGTGTATGGCACACCAGAGAAGCTGCCCATTCCGGAGGACCATCCTGTCGGAAACTGCACCAACCCGTATGGCATGACCAAGTTCATGATAGAGAAGTTCCTCATGGACCAGTGCAAGGCTAAGCCGGTGAGAATCAGTGCGTGTACAGATGTTTACACTTCACAGCTTCTTTTTTGTTCACTTTTTTGTTCTTGTTTCTGACGTTTGGGGTATCTATGACTATGACTATGTACATACTTGTTGGATTTCACCAGCCCCCCCGCACACACACTCACACACACACACACACACACACTCACACACACACACACACACACACACACACACACACACACACACACACACACACACACACACACACACACACACACTGTGCTTTGTACTATACAGTGCTGCTGCTAAATGAAATGAGATTGCATGAGTCAAGTACGCTCTGGGCGCTGTACAGCCCTAGACCTGCGAACACCGGGATGTGAAATGCTGCAGGGCCCAACACTGACTCAATCGATTGTATTTTCATTGAGCAGCACTGTAGCTTGCTATTCATCTACAGTGCTGGCCATTGTCACTGAAATCCAACAACTCGCTCAAAAGGTTCAGCTGTCAGGTGCATTCTGCGTATGTGAGCTGAGCTGGGTGGCATAACTACAGGGCATCATCAGGCGCTGCTTGACTCGGGGTGCAGAAAGTGCCAGGCTGTTGCAGGGTTCTAGCCAGGTCAAAATAGTAGGGGGGGGGGGGGGGCATGGGAAGCAGTTACCCCGTTTTTCCACTTTCCAATATTGTCTTGCCACGCTAAATGCAACGTATGGGGCGAATCCCTGACTTCGCCCCAGACAAATGTGCCTTTATGAACCAGCTAATAATGACTTTCGACTGCATTTTCGTTGAATTGCATCAAAAAAATGGAAATCGGAAAATGAGTAGGGGGGGGGGGGGCTACACCGCCCCCTACCCCCTTTGGCTAGAACCCTGCTGTTGTCACTGACTTCACTAGCCTGCATTATCCTATACGTCATGTACGCTCATGTGCATTTCGTTCCTGCTCTTGTAGTGCTTTAGCACTCTCGGGTGGTGTAGTGCCTTTGCTGTTTGCGTCAGGCAGAGTTCACTGACTTGTCAGTTTGAGCGCTCTGGCAAGGTACGTTCGGGCCTGGTTTAAATCTGGTTTTGGAAAATTTATTTTTCATTGCTATCAGGTTCGGCCTCATTTTCTCTATGCTGCACTGATGAGTCCACAACGGACGAAACAGTTCTGTCCACAGATTGAGTGTACGCTCATGTACTGTGTGTTTCCGTTCTCCTTTCCTTCATGCCTTTGTTTCAAGGATTTCAATGCTGTGATCCTGCGCTACTTCAATCCCGTGGGAGCACATTCGTCAGGCAGGATAGGAGAAGATCCAAGGGTATGTGTATACTATGTGATGATCAATCGGGTGACATTTCCATTGGTCAGGGGCGTCGGAAGGTATTCGACATTGGTGCGGCCGCATGAGTAGGTAGGGGGTCTTCCCCCGAAATTGTTTAGGGAAATTAGGCCCAAATAGACCATTTTCAATCACATTGCATTGGCTGGCTGATGGTGGATCATATGAGGAATTAGCTGACATGTATCGTGCTGGGCATGCTACTGTCTGTAAGATTGTGCACAAAGCAGTTGGGAACTTGGTGTTCTTGTCACGCACTCGGTTCTTGATGTCATTGTGTTTCCAGAAGGAGATGAGTTAGCGCGCGATGATTTTTTCGAGTTGGTATTTAGCGTTTTTTGGCCATATTTTATCAATGCACTAAATTAAAATGCCTTGTTTTGTTTTGATTGTTACTTGATGTTCATATCACCACTTGGTGATTCTGCCATTGCTGGCACACAACAGGGCATTTTCAAAATCACACACGAATTATCTCAAGAGGACCAAAGAGCTACAAGTTACGCTATAATATCCACTAACACCACCTGTTACTTTACAATCAGATATTATAGCGTAACTTGTAGCTCTTTGGTCCTCTTTTCTTCTTATATAATGTAAATTAATCCTTGGCTCTCCACCCAAGACAAATTATCTCCCAGGAATTCACACGTAAACCATCACAGGAAAGTGCAGATGCCAAAAATCCACCAAAGGGTAGAACATGGAGCAAAATACATCAAAGACAACAACCGTGCAGAACATGGAGAAAATCATCTCAAAGTGCAGATAACGTCACAGCAAGTAGAACAGTCTAGAGGCTGCAGAAGGGTGCAGGAAAACCACTGCAATTACAGCAACGTGCAGATGCCAGAAACACAGCGCAGAGCAGAACATGGACCAAAACACATCAAATATAATAGCACAAAACATGCAGCAAAAAAAACCGTCAAAGTGGAGAAAACGCCAGCCTGGAGACATGTGCAAGACATAACAGGATAATCACTTGTCGTTGTTGAACAGATCGTACATAAACTTCCTATCAGCCTTGGTGAGCTGCTGTAGGTGTTCCCGATTGGTCCTTGCCATGTCAACCTGGTGAACCTTGCCTTGACTTTGCAGGTTTGATTCAAATGAATATCGCTGTTCATCTTGCCTCTCGACCCACTCTTGATGATTGCGAGCTTTATCCGCCTCGAACTCGTGTTGCCGACGTTGTAACTCCTGCTGTGAAGCAGCCGCCATTTCCATACACTGCTGCAGCTTTGCTTTGCCGCGGTCAGCACGACTTAGTTTCTTCGGCCGCTCTTCGTTATCATCGGATTCCGACGAGCTTTGCCGACGGATGTCCTGTGTCGGTGCATCCACTCGAAGCACAGGAGTCGCTGGCTGTGTCGGTGTTGCAGCCTCTGTTCCTCCTTCTGCCGATGCTGATTGAGCTGCTGCTGCCGGGGCTGTTACCGGTGCTGTTGCTGTGGCCATAGGAGGGGCAGGAGGTGGTGTTGACCGTCCTGCTGCTTCCACCAACATGACCTGAGGGTGCTCGTTACTTGTAGCAGTACTGAACGCTGGTGCAATTATGGTGGCACTATCTTTACTGCGGCCAACTCCCCAAGATGGGGAGTTTCCGAATACACGGTGGAAAGTGTCGAAATTCTCCCACGTGGCGAGTCGCCCCAGCCATGTCTAGGACCTCGGATTCTGTACCCGTCAGTTTCTGAAATTGGTCATATATAGCCCGGCCCTTCTTCTTGAGGCTGTCTATCTTGTTTCCCAACCCCTTTTGTGTAAAAACTCTTTCAACTCCGATCTCACTAGCGTAGGAGTTGAGCGCCTTCTGTTCGTTGTCATTTCTCGTCACCATCTTCTTGTCCGTGGACCTCAGCAGCTCAGCTCATATCTCCAGCAACTTCTGTTCCAGCTCTGTGGGAAAAATAGATGCAGGCATGACTGGAGAAAGTGGGAAAGACCTCGCAAAGCAACAACTGGAACAGCAACAAAAACCTTTGTACGCCAAAAAGAGGAAATAAACAAGGCAGAAAGAAGAACTCGGTTTGACTTTCATTTCAACCTCAAGGCTGCACGGAATGCCACGGCCCTATTGTTGTCTAACCAATGTTGTCTATATATGGGTATCTTGCTGGAACTACTGTACTGTACTCTACTACTACTTTATAACACTCTTTATACTCTCTCAGACTGCACGCAATTATGGGTTGTTATAATAGTTATATTAACTGACTTCGAGAAGCATAAAGAGGACTAAAGAACTGGAGAGGACTGGGATAATTACAAGGAGAAGACTCGGAGAACAACAAGAAGATTCACACTGCACAAGCGCAGCCTTCCGGGTATAACTAAAGTTATGGAGGGAAAATGGGGTGCATGCAGTAAGGGCGCGCTCACACTGCGACCATGAACACGCGCCCATGCGTCAGCAAAACGCAGAAACGTGCCAGTCGTGCTCACACTAGGCCTCGTACACGCGTAGACGTGAAGTTGTCACACAAACTTTACGAATTGCAGTTCGTATCCAAAAGAGTTCGTGCATTTCCTAATAAAGTTGTGGCCCGTTTTGGATGTAATTTTTCGCATGTTGCATGTTGGAGAAAGTAGTGCCTCGTGGCTCGTGTTCTCGAAGTCGATGACAAATAATCCATACAATAGGTTTGGACTCTTGAGGGGCTGCCGCTGACATCCAAGCGCTTTCGCTTTCCTGACCTCGTGGTCAGAGCAAGTGCCAGTGCAGTGGAAATTCCGGTAGTGGTTTCTTTTGTCTGTTGCCGAGATGAGAACTGTATTTTCCGATATGTAACTGAAATGTCTTAAGGTATGGCATTCCATCATCGCAGAAAAGTAGAGAAAGATGATTTCCCAAACCGAAAAGCCAGACCAAGCTGCCATCGTATTGAACGAGTGCACTGTAGAAATTGGTCACTGACCCGATCAACTGACAACGAAGCAACTACAAAAACAAAATTGACATGGTCCAAAAAAGGCAAAGAAATTTGAAAGAATGCATATACATGTATATGGCGGTGCGTGCATGCAGGACCACAACTACAAAATTTCAAAAATGGGCAAATGTCGAGGATGACATCGACAACCGCCGAGTTTCATGAATCAACACACCGGAATTTGAGAAATTGAACATACTTCAGGCCAGGTTGTACACAAATACGCTTCACGTCTACGATCATGTTGCCGCCAAGTCGTGGCACCCCCCTCCGGAGGTCGTGGTCACGATTTGAAACGTGGCCGCGACGTTTTGGTCAAGTTCATGCCGTTGCCATGCAACTTGGCCGCATGGACGCTGGTTTTGGTCGCAGTGTGAGCGCGCCCTAAGCGAGACAGGGTGAGCGGGAAATGGGGTGCATGCAGTTAGTGAAACAGGGTGAGCGGGAAATGGGGTGCATGCAGTTAGTGAAACAGGGTGAGCGGGAAAAGGGTGCATGCAGTTAGGGAGGCAGGGTGAGCGGGAAAAGGGTGTATGCAGTTAGTGAGGCAGGGTGAGCGGGAAACGGGTGCATGCAGTTAGTGAGGCAGGGTGAGCGGGAAACGGGGTCAGCAGGGTGTGCATGAATGTGTAGGGAGTGCATGAATGTGTGTAGGGGAGTGTGTGCGTACGGGAATGTGTACGGGGCTAAAGGGCTCATGCAACATTATGTAGGAAAAGATCAGACAGGAAATAGTGGCAAGAAGGAATGTAAAATAACTAAAAAAATAAAGAAGAACAAGTTTCTGCAATTTGCTGGAAGAGCATCACTGAATAAAAAAAGTCTTGGTTTCCCACACCGGGAATTGAACCCGGGCCGTCTGGGTGAAAACCAGAAATCCTAACCACTAGACCATATGGGAGATCCTTGTGAGCGTTTGGTGTATCCCATTCCTTGACACTCTCAAGCGTTTGTGGCGAGGGCATGCCTTTCCTCTCAGTTGTGGCCAGAGTACATTACCCCCTAGGGGTTGGGGTTTATGTACTCTTGGTTGTGGCGAGTCATCAGATTTTTCCTACTGGTACATGTATTCGGAACGAACAGCTCCCCCCCCCCCCCATCTGAACGCAGCTCTTTTGGGAAGAATTTTGAGATGACCTCTTATTACCTTTTTCACCGTGTGCGTGTGTGTCTGCGTGTGCATGTGGGCGTGGGTGTATGTGGGGGTGTATGCATGTGTTTGTGTGTGTGTGTGTGTGTGTGTGTGTGTGTGTGTGTGTGTGTGTGTGTGTGTGTGTGTGTGTGTGTGTGTTATCCCGTACAGGGTGCTCCTAACAATCTCATGCCCTACATCACACAGGTAGCGATTGGCCGACGTCCATTCCTGAGTGTCTTTGGCAGTGACTATGACACAACTGATGGAACAGGTCAGTCTGACAGTCACAATCGAAATCCCTACTCCAATGTTTACTCCTTTTTTTGCCCTAGTTTCACTAGCCCTGACTAAAGAAACGAACTATTCCTCAAGTCTGGATTTTCAAGGTTTCAGTTGTTCACTTTAGAAATCAAAGTACTGTATTTCTGGAGTATATTAACCCTTTACCTTCTGACCAAAATTCCCAGGCAGTTCCAAATGCGATACTTCTCGCCTCATTCTGAGAATATCTTTGGTTGTAATCAACCAATTTTCACACTCTTGGGCATTCTGGAAAGCTCTCCACGAGCTGCGTACAATGAGCTCAAACTGAACACTACTGAGATCACATATCCAGTGCCAGGGTGCTTCAAATACTCCCCATCGCTGGGTATCCGAGAAAATTCTCTCCTCGTCAGCCATTTCTCACTCCTTCATCGTAAACATTTCAAATTTGTTTTCCTGAGTTCCTTTTTATGCTGCCCACGCGCTCAAAGCATGCCCATGTGACTCAGCATGTCAGGAGAGGGAAAATCCCTAGCTCAAGGCCAGTCACTCGGAAAATAAATCGACTTTTGCCGTGGGTGAAATGTTGAGCGCGATATCGTTGGCATGCGGCATCGCAGCTCATCGCCGATTGTTGCAATGAAAAGCTGGGCTCTTCGGCTTCTTCCTACATATTTAGTTGTCGAGATTCCGTCAAGAATTGATCGAGTTACGAATGTTTTAGTGTATGCATGTCCATCGACCAAATTCGGTCGATTCATGTACACACAGAAGGTAAAGGGTTAAAGCGCCAAGCTTTGGCCCAGCGCACTATCTTAGATAGGTTTGTGTACGCGTGTGTCGAGATTTGAAGTACGTTAGTTCCCCATCAGCCACTGGCGTCAGTGGCTGGACCTCCCCCCAAGGCAGGACCTCCTCCCAACTCAAGTCGCAAGAGACCGACGACGCTCGCACTATCCAAGCCCGAGAGGCCTCCAGTCGGAGTTGTCCTCGCCCAGAAGAGAAAGGCCGAGGAAGACCTGGTGACCCAACATGAATCTCCCATGGACTGGTCTTATGAACCCCAACACTAAACGCCTTGCAAATAACGGATATTCGTTGCTAATTTCGATTAAAATATTCATTGCTAAAAAAATAAAAATAAAGAAGAAGCAGCAAATGAGAGAGCTTGGAAGCTCAGGGCCCTACGCTATGCTTTTTGGCAAAAAAAAGCATGGGGATTAGATGTTATAAAAAAAATTCAAGACATAGGCTGCGTTCGTTTTTAGCTACCTGGTAGAGTAGAGTAGAGTCACTCTACCGATAGAGGTAGATGGTAGAGGCAAGTTTACGAACGCTGTTCTACCGGATTTAGTAGTTTACACGATGTGTACGTGAAATGTTCCTTTTTTGGATGGAGTTGTGTACAAATCCTGGATCTTGCTGGAAATCCCGTAGCTCTACCAACTTCTACCGGATTCTACCTACTTTTTCCTGGTAGAGCCGGTAGAGGAAAGTAGAATCTACCCTTTTCAGTAGATTTTTTTTTCAAAAAACGAACACCTCTACCGAAAGAAGTAGTTTCTACCCAAACATGTAGATCAAAAACGAACGCCCCCATAACCTGGGATTCGAACCCGCACTATCACCCTGCATCAGGCATGCATCCCCCGATACACTTCGCAAAGTTCGCATACATACTAATTCTTCCAAGTTGCTTCACGTTATGATCTTGCATTTGAAAGCCCTATTTGAATATCGTGGCCAGCTGTCTGTGGCCAGCCGTCTTTGATGGTACGGTACGGGACAGGTACGGTCGATGGTAATACGACACCGTCTACCACCTTGATGACCTAGGCAAAAAAAGCATAGATATGTTATAAATTTTTCAATTCTCCTATTTTTTAGGCATAACCTGGGATTCGAACCCGCGCTATCGCCCTACATCGTCATGCATTCCCCAATACACTTCGCATTCATACTCATTCTTCCAAGTTGCTTCACGTTATGATCTTGCATTTGAAAGCCCTATTTGAATATTGTGGCCCGCTGTCTTTGATGGTACGGTACGGGACAGATACGGAATAGCGCCAGGCATGACACAAACAAACAAACAAATACCACATTAAAGCTGTGTGGACCCTGGCTAGCGCCAGCCGTTACTGAAGTAACGTCTTCTGCATAGCTACGGGAATAAATAGAACTTTCTCTCCGGTGCACACCTGGAGGTTGAATAGCTCTTCTGCTCGGCTTTGTCGTTGTGTCAATTCTAATGAAAACAGAAATGCGCAGCAGCTTTTATGCAACAGGCCCCGTACGCTAACGTACGGGGATACACTAAATATACGTCAGGTAAAGTTCCGTATTAGCCAGGCAGGGATACTACACTCTCCCTTCCTACAGATAATCACGCCCTCGTGATTTTCAAAAGTAGGCAGGTGGATGAATGTTCTGTCGTGGCCGGAGGTTGTACGGAGGTGCAGGAGGCGGCGGAGCGGGGGGTTGGAGTTGAGGTAGTGGTGGGTGCGCTGGGGTGGTGTGTATTTCGGGATCGTATGTCAGTGGTGTTGCAGGACGTACGTCGGTTACTTGATGATATGGCTTCAGGCGATTTACGTGAACAATTGAAAGCCTCTGGCGATCCGACAACGAACGAATGCGGACTGTGACATCATCGATCACCTTCTGGATGACATATGGTCCTGTCCAGAATCGGTGAAACGTGGGGGACTCGTGCTGAGGGACCACGGGTGAATGTAGGAGAACAAGCTGATCCTTCGTGAACTTGGGTGGCGGGCGAGATGTACCATCGTAACCCTTCTTCTGGTGCTGGTGTGATTTAAGGCCGTGCTGGCGGGCACGCTCAAAGGCAGTCTCAGTTGAAGTACGAATAGAAGAGCCAAATTCAGGGTAAGATGGCGGTGGTGTGTTACGGGGTAAACCATACATCACATCGAGAGGCAGAACCGGATCATAACCAAACTGGAGGCGGAATGGAGAATAGCCAGTCGATGCATGTACACTAGTGCGGTATGCTAGCGCCGTGGGTTGGAGATGCAAGCCCCAGTCTCGGTGATCAGAGATGGATGTTGCAATCATAGCTTCTAGTGTCCGGTTGAATCTTTCAACCATGCCATCACTTTGTGGGTGGTAGGGTGTGGTTCTGGTCTTGGTGATATCAAGTATAGTGCACAGGCTTTGAAACAAGCGACTCTCAAACTGGGAACCTTGATCAGTGTGCAAGGCAGCGGGTGCACCATAGCGACATATCCAACCATTGAAGAACAAACCGGCGACAGTAGAGGCGAGCGTGTTGGGCATGGGGAAATCTCGACCCACTTGGAGAAGTAATCCATTATGACTATTACGTACCGATTTCCTCGATCAGTGATAGGAAGGAGGCCCATGATGTCCATGGCGACACGCTGGCTTGAATAGGATGATGTTTGCGATTGCAGAGGTGCTTTCCGTTTTTTTGGCACTCCGGGCAGGTTCTAACACACTGTTCGATGTCAGCAGCCATGTGGGGCCAGTAGAACCGTGCACGGGCCTTGTCGATGGTGCGGGTGACGCCAAGATGGCCAGATCCAATACCGGCATGCAGTGATCCGACAACAGTAGGACGTTGTGACGCAGGGAGGACCAATTGAAGATACGAGGACAGATCATCAGTAGACTCATACTTTCGGTAGAGAACACCATCTTGGACAATGAGACGATTGAACTGCGTCCAGAGTCGGTGCACATCAGGATGAACAGCAGCTAACTCAACTGATCCCTTGGGTGGCCGTTGCTGTGATGTCACCCACTTCATCACTAGTGAAATCGAGGGATCCACAGCTTGGCTAGTGCGGACGGAGGTAGACGGCAGCCAGGACGCTGACGGAGCAGGCTCACGAGTGCATTGGTCGAGATCGCCTGTGGACAGAGAGACACCGCATGAACTCACAGCAGCAGATGCAGCAGGCGGCAGAAGCATACTCTTGGCAGCAGGGGAAGAACACACTTGTCCACACAATCTTGACAAACTATCGGCGTTGATATGCTGAGAGCCAGGGCGATGCCGAGTTGCATAGTCAAACGCTGATAACCGTTCTATCCAGCGTGCAACAATGCCATCCGGATTCTTGAATGAAGATAGCCTTTATTTAGGTTAATAAATAATTTGCGTAAAACTGCAAGCCATCGCTGAGGAGTATGTGCCTCCATGATAGGGTAACCGTAGGTCGAATGATGGTGCGGCTGCTGCACGTGCTGCAGAGGTTGTTGCATAGTTTGCTGCATAGGTTGTAGCACAGGTTGGAGCACTGGTTGCTGCATGGGTGGCTTCTGCGATACCATAGGTGTGTACACGGCGGAGACGTTTGAGGTCGGGTACTTAGTCTGATGCACGGCTTGCATGATCCTCAATTTGGCCATATCGTACGTCGTTTCTTCCAGTCCTCGAAGATCTTTGACGAGGCTGAGGCAAAACAGGGTGACGGGGTCCGAGAAGTCAACCTTGTTCCTGTCGTCCGATTTAATTTCATCACATGTGCTTGTTAGGGAAAGAATCAAGTCCTCTTCTACTTTTCCAATCCGTTTTCTCTTGGGTGTACGCTGAGGGAAGACTTTATTTTTCTCTTCTTTCTTTATACTTCGAGTAGGGATGGTGGGTGCCGTGCCTGCGTCGTCATCGCTGACGACTTGGATGTCCTCTTCTTTTTTATCCTCTCCGTCAGAAATGGCGTCTGACTCGCCAGAATCGTCCTCGCCTGGGCACAGCATGATCACAAACACAATTAATTTTATGAAGGAAGTTGAAGGCTAAGCCTTTCAGATTTCTTTTGCAACATACAAATAATGTACTTCAAGAAGTACTAATGTAGTGGTAGCCGAGTGGAGGCGCGGTGCAATCAACACGAGTTAGCTTTTAATTCAACTTTCTCTCAGGTACACACCTGGGATATATTATAAGTAAAAGAAGAAGCGGCAAACGAGAGAGCTTGGAAGCTCAGGGCCCTACGCTATGCTTTTTTTGCCTAGCTCATCGTACATGTTATTAGAACTGATGGTTTTTGCTGTTTGTGGCCAGCTGTGGCAGATACGGGAGCCAGCAAATATTGTGGCCAGCTGTGTTTGATGGTACGGTACGGGACAGATACCGGTTAGCTCCAGGCGTGACACAAACAAACAAACAAACAAACAAATACCAAATTAAAGCTGTGTGGACCCTGGCTAGCGCCAGACGTTACTGAAGTGACGTCTCCTGCATAGCTACGGGAATAAATAGAACTTTCTCTCCGGTGCACACCTGGAGGTTGAATAGCTCTTCTGCTCGGCTTTGTCGTTATCAATTCTAATGAAAACAGAAATGCGCAGCAGCTTTTATGCAACAGATCCCGTACGCTAACGTACGGGGATACACTAAAATATTCGTCAGGTAAAGTTCCGTATTAGCCAGGCAGGGATACTACACATGCATATCCTGGATGTGTTGTGTTTACAGCTTGTTCACACCATGTCTTTCTTGCCAATGACCAGGTGTGCGTGACTACATTCACGTAGTGGACCTGGCCAATGGACATGTTGCCGCACTGAAGCTTTTTGAGCGCGAGAAGCCTGTCGGCTGTGCAGTAAGTCAGAGTCGAATGCTGTTTGTGTTTATTCCCCTTATTCGTTGAGTTGAGACGAAAGCCTCTCTTTGTTTTCTGCAAAGTACACTTTTTCCTCCTGGAGAGGGGCATGCCCTACATTTGGTGAATATCGAGGTGTTTCGCAGCACAGTGTGATTTTTGGATTGAAGGACTGTGTTGCTGTTGCCATTACTGTTGCTGTTGCTGTTGCTGTTGCTTACAGGTCTACAATCTTGGGACTGGCCAAGGCTGCTCCGTACTGGAGATGGTGACGGCAATGCGAGAGGCCAGTAAAGTCGAGGTAAGCACACCGCATTGGCCGACCTTGTGTGCAGCCAAGAATATCGGTCAGCGGACTGTAGCTGGACAACAGCTGCTGTCTACATCAGCCTGGGTGTAGACTATTGAGCTGCTCCTATGGTCCACGTATTCGGGGCACAGAGTACAGAAGTACAACAACAGCCCTTGATTGTAGTTTTGAGAAGTCTATAACCAAAGAGTCGCATCTCAGACAAAATTAATAGCGTGAAAACCGCAATGGAAAATAAGTGCAAGGCAGTCGAATGCAAATGCAAGAGTGGTGCCGGTATATGGTATGTCGAGCATAATAAGGACTGACCGAGTTTGGTAGTGCATGCCAGTGGCGGGTTTAGGGGGGGGGGGGGGGGGGCGCGCCCCCCCCCCCCCCCCTCAAAAGTTTCGACCTAGGTTTCGAAAAATAAAAGGCAGGGCGCGCGGGGCTAGCTAGACTAGACTACATGTACTCGGAGCGCGCGCGGCCTGAAACGATCGTCCAAAAGCGGTTAATTGCACGGTAGACCTACGGTGCTCGAGTTGGTGTTGATTGTACACCTGGTACACACTACAGACTAGTACTGTAGTACAGTACAGTGTACAGTCTACAGAGTGCGTACAGTGAGCATGCACGGCTACAGAAACACGGGGTCGGTGACCTGACTGTGTACTGTAGTGTTGTACAGTGTGATCCCTGCTGGGACGCGCTCGACGCGTCTTCAACGTTACGTACAAACATCGAAGAAAAGTCTTCGATCAAGTCAACCAAAACACGATTCGAATGCCGAGGGCTCAGGCGATCATCCTCGTTCGAATCGTGTTTTGGTTGACTCGAAGACTTTTCTTCGATGTCTCAGCGACATCCCAAAAGGCCAAGCTCTAGCCAGCAGAGCCTGGAATTTTTGTAAAGCGTTCCTGTGGCGGCGCAACTCCTGCTGCCGCTCCAACAGGAAACAGTGGGAGTGATGAAGTCGCTGTTATTCCAGTTGAACTTTCGGAGCGGACTGACAGTCACACTCCGCCAGACGTGGAAGAACCTGTTGTCAGCGAGCAGCCAGAACATGAAGAACAGCGCACAGTGACAAGTACCGCTGCCTATGTAAAGGATGCATTGAGAGCGGTGAGAAATTGTTGGACTCGCATAAATAATTGCAGTTGATTCGCTCACATAAGGAAAAATTTATATGAAGACAATTTCATGGAGTCAGAAATAGAAAGACAATAATTTCATGGAGTCAAAGAATAGAAAGACAATTTCATGGAGTCAGGAACACGTGGTTGATTTTGTAGACATGCATGCACAAATGATTGATAGATGAGAAGGTTGGAATTTATGGCAGATAATAAAAGTTTAACGAGGATATTCACAAAGTAAGTATATCAATGGCAGAAAGAGCTTTTCGAAAGGGACTAGGGACACGTATCACTCTAAAATCGGAGGGGAGAGCGTTCCAGAGAATGCTTCCCCGAAACATCATGGTCGATCGTCCCACAGGCCGACGAAGAAAGGGAACTTGAAGCAAGTTCGACACTTGTCCCCGTGTGGTGTGCTGATCCTCCGGAACAGTCTCTGGGGCCGTTCGGGTGAATAACTGTTGAAGAAGGGGGCTACAGGAGGAGCTTCTTGACATCGGTTTTCAAAATGGCTGACCTGGGACAGTATCATGATGTCATCTACCCCACCCCATCCCGCCTTGATCCCGGCCGCAACCCCCCCCCCCCTCAGCCAAATCCTGGACACGCCACTGCATGCCAACAAGGACTAACCCTGTTAGGTAGTACTTGCCTTTTCCTGAAAACTATGTTCCATGGACTGCTTTTTACCATGCCTTGCACTGCAGTCACACCAGGTACACAATCTTGTACGTGTTGCGTTTCAGGACAAGGCGTTAGCGTATTGAACGCTCGTGTGCATGAACAAGCGTCGTAGGTTCTCAGCAAGTGCTGTGCTCCTGTAGAACGCCACATAGCTAGTTGTGTTTCCTGTTCCTGCCAGTTTCCAGGTCCAATGTTCACACCTCTTACATACTTCGAAGTACAGTAAAACCTGTGACTAACAACCACCCCTTGGGGCCAAAGAAAGCGGTCTTTAGTGGCAGGTGGTCCTTAGTTAGAGATTTGCTCCGCACAACCATAATATGAATGTGAGACCGTCCGTGTCTGGCGAAGTGGTCTGTAGTACCAGGCTGGTCGCTAGTCACGGTGGTCTTTAGTTACAGGTTTTATTGTACATTGGTGCATCTGGTTCTCACTTTGGCACTATGATGGTCACGTGAAAGCACCCAACGTATGGAATGTGGTCATAAAATACATCCATCGTAAAGTCGTGTACTCAGTGCGTGCATGGAAATTTGTACTGGGGATTTCGCATATGTTGCTGAAGCCTAGTGTGCACTATTGCTATTGTATGATCACTGCCTCTGACCTTTGAGTAAGTGCTCAGTGTTCTTGTACCACTTATTATTGTCGACATGTTCGCGGTGAATCGCTTATGTACAATAGAGCTGGGTATAAGGATACGCCTCTGATGGTGGAGTGAATTATGCTACTACATGTATTGTATCTACTCAAACTACGGACACAACTGTCTAGTCCTCTGTGGACTGTGTATTATATCTCAGTATCGTTATTATCACTGTGCACTTTGCCAACAACGCCTACTCGCTTGTGACTGGCAGATCGCGTACAAAGTGGTGGATCGTCGTGCTGGCGATGTAGCATCTGTGTACGGTGATCCGTCAAAGGCTGCTGAGGAGCTGGGCTTCAAGGCAACCAAGACGCTGAAGGACATGTGTAAGTACTACGGCCAGTGATGGTCCAATGATGGTTTGGAAGTGCAGTGTTCATGGCCTCATGTAGGTATTACCGATTTTTAAATCGGCCACGATCAGGCACATGTTGGGAGTTGGGGTGGCAGAGTGTGCAGATAATAAAATAATATCCTTTGTGAGTTACGAAGTCTGAAGAAAATGTTGAACGGTCTCTGCTGGGATGATGGCTACACCATAGCTCAGTGGTTAAAGCATCGCTGGCTACAGGCGAGGGTCCCTGGTTCAAATCCTGGTAGTGACAGTCAATTTTGTCTTCGTTTTTTCCCGTTTGCGTCTTTCCCTCAAACCAGTGAATATCCTTTGTTGCATTCATTTCATCATGCTGATCACTTTGCGATAGATCTCCCTTTAAAGGGACTACTAGAACTCATCGTCTTTGGCCTGCACTGCATATTGTGTGCATGCATGTGTTCAATGTTCAATGTAGGTGAAGACAGCTGGCGGTGGCAGCAACAGAATCCGCAAGGTTTCAACTGCTCGTGAACGGATTCCTTCTACGAGCTTTGATAGTACGTGTGCTACTCCGAAGGTCAGGACGGATATGTGCGTATGCGCTGTAGAGCCACATCTCCCGCCAATAGTGTGCGCAATCAGCTTTCTCCAGTACTGGTAATGGCGATTGTGCAAACATTCGGGTTCGGCTGACCTATCCCTAATCCGCAGTGGTCTCTCCTGTATGTACTGCTGGAGCTATTTTTACACAACTTTGTTCCACATTGTGCGACGAAACAAGGAACTTTGACTCTCTTAGGTCCATCCGTTTGAGACTCGCAGTTGCAAACCGAATTTTTCTTACTCGCGCTGTTCTAATTTTAGGCGCAGTGCGTACACCCTTTTTTTACATTATTTATTACCATGTTGCTTAGTTGCGCCATGATCTAGGGTCTTGCCATTTGCCGAGTTTGGCGCTGGGTTTAGAAGGCTGTGTGTGGGGTGTTAGAAGGACACGCTCGTGCCACTGTGCTGTACTTCTTCAAGTGTGCCGCACACAGTACACTGTCATGCAGCACCCGCACACAGTACACTGTCATGCAGCACCTGCGCACAGTACATGCACAGCTGTGTAGTACCTATATCTTGTAACTTACTTGTTGATATTCTTAGCTTTTGGCGGTGCGGGTACCCCAAGCAATAGTAGTGATTTCATAGTAAAAAAAGTACTCGAGTAATATATTTCTGTTGAACACATTTCATGAAAGGTGTCCTATGCCATGCTGCTATCCCACTGATAATATTCTGCTGTGACGTCCTGATGTCCTGGTGTACTGATGTCATCCCACTGTGGGTCTGGGATACAGGCGAAACCCTGATACCAGGAATTCAAACCCCGAAATGCCAGGAAAAAACTTCAAATTTAATATCCTGACATTTTAATTATCCTTATATGTATCCACAACATATTATGTGTGCCAAAATGCTCGCAGTTGCACCCAGAGTTGCGCTACGTACCTTAAATACAGATATAGTGGACACTGAGCTGCCTGCTCATGCAAACTGAGCGAACTAACTTGTAGAAATTACTGTCAACTTCGAGTTATCAGCACTAATCCCACACATTTTCTTTGTAAGTCAGTGGATTCCATGGGCCATGCCCAGTTCGAGGTTCGAACTATCAGAAATTGTTATGTGAAAATTGTATTGATATAAATCGGTCCTGGAAGAAACTTCTACGTAAACGGCATGTTCGAATTAAGCCATATTCGAATTATCAGGATTCCACCTGTAGTTTCATGCCATGGCATCCCCCTCCCCGATGGGGATAGCATTACGAGTCAGTGGACTGGTGTACATGCACAACAGAGCATACGCAGTGGCCTAGTGCGATGGATTATGCAGCTTTTCTTATGTCTAAACCTACATTGTAGGGTGGGGTGATGCTGCGGTGCACAGTGAATGAGTTTGGTCCCACGTGGTTGTGGTCACTACGATCATGACTGCATGCAGGACTTTTAGCACCGTATGATTTTGATGTTGAGCTCAGCACTCTTTGCAGGTGCCGCGTTTGTATTTCTATACTAGGCCCCTTTGAAAACTGTAGGGACTACCTGCACATGACATGGTGCAGCTGTGTTCGTAGTCACCCACTGCCAAACTCAACCCCCCCCCCCCCCCCCTGTCACTAGCATGGATGAGTTCACCACATAAATCAGCATTCCACACTTACAGTATTAGCAGGGCACCCGCGCTGTTGGTGGTGCTACATGTAGTGGCAATGTCATGTGACAGACTACACTGTTCTATCTCCATAGGTACATGCAGTCAGTCTACTGCAAAATGCAAACCAGGTAGTAGTAAAGTACTGGTATATTACTACTGCCTGGTGGGAACAGTGACGTTTCTGCGCCAGTTTAGGTCACAATTCACAGGCACCTATAGATCTAGTAAAGCGGCACAAGTTGACATTAAATTTGTGTTTCGCAGCACTTCACCTTCCCAGAAGTATCACCCACCTTGAAGTAGGGAACAGTTTCCAAAATACAAAGGTTTGCAGTACTTTGTGCTGGCTAGGTGTGGCGAGGTGTTAGGTTCGGTGACCAATACTACAGATAGCAGCCAAGCAACAGTGCTGCTATTGTTAGTTTAGCACTAAAGGACCTAAAGCTTACGCACTGGGGTGTAGGCAGACTCACTGCAGTGGAATGGCTTCTGTCGTCCCCTGGCCAAACTGTGTCAGTTGTATCTTGTTAGCTAGTTGATGGCCAGGACCAGTGCATGCTGCATATTCAGTCTGAAGACTGAAGTAAGTTCCTGTTGTTTTATTTGAGTGCCTCTACATAAGTACACAAGTAATGCATGGTCAGGCAGCAGGTATGTAGCTTGTTAGTACTAGTAGCACTGCTGTTAGTGTGATCCTAGATAATCTGAGTACTAGTATATGGTGCTATGAATCAGGTCTACCTAACAGGCCAAGCCAGTTGCACTGGCTGGTATGCCATCAGCATCAAGGAGTACAGCAGGGGACTGAGGATACTGGATAGGTAATGACTATGTGCAGCCCAGTGCCTTGTGTATGGCCTACATGTACTAGCAGTGCACAGTGTACATGTAGTGCACTGTGCTACCTGTTCAGCACTGGCTCATTCTCACTCTCAGCTCAGGTCTGCCAGATATTGTCATGCCAGTGGACAGCAACTGTTTCACCCAATATGGGATTTTGAGGGAAGCCACCAGAATCCAAGCCCATCTCGTCAAGATGTTCACAATGGCACACATGTGTATGCAAGTCACCGTTCTACTCAAGGTATGTCTGAGCAGATCATGTTGGCTGTTCCTTGCTACTCACTGGTACAGACTATAGACTACTAGCACGGTGGATGGTGTCTATGGGCAGGAGGGCATTGTTCTTGACTCCCCTCCCAATACTCACGCAGGCTACGTCTTTCGCTAAAAGCCACAGCGAGAGTACATAACCCCCAAGACTGTGCAAGTCCAGTCTATGGGGTCTGCGACTGCAGAACTAAGCTCACATTACATGACAAATCCATTCACAATATTTGCAACCTTCACATATGCGCACAATAACTATACTACAGCCCAGACTAGAGTTCTTCCAAGTACATAAACCATACTGTAAGTGAACATAATATTCGGCGCATATTTATTTTCAGCTATTTTCGGCCTGGTTATGTTTGGCGGAAAATTTGCTGCGGCCGAAATTTTGTTTTGCAAGGTTCAGTGTGAAAGTGGATACAGGCGGCAGCAGTACAGGCCGAAAATTTGATGCAGCCAAAATTGGTTTTAGCAGTGGGAGGCCGAAATGTGAATGGGCCGAAAATTTGTAGACTTGGTTGCGTAAAACCGATCCCATATCATGAATCATAGACCACCAGCATGACATGCGTTATTCACCTTTTCTACAACAGCTAGCGATGCGATGTGCAACAGAAATTACCATGGTAATATGGTTAGCTGACCATGCATGTGAGCCAGTGCCAGATACAGCAAAGGCAGAGTCACTATGACCTAAACAAAGGCTTGGCCGTGAGATGATAACTAGTATCTCCAAGCTGCACACTCTGGTTTACATGTACATGTATGTACCCTTGCTATGGGCCTTGTTCTGGGCTGTACACAACTCTCTGATGGTCACTTTGCAGTGCTTGCCAGCTTCATTCAGCAGGCTACAACCATACCAGTACTGAACCATGACTCTTGTCAGTCTTGATACCAGTACTGAACCATGCCATGTGATGTGGAAATAATGCCAGGCTATTACTAGAACTGTTAGCGTGCGCAGGGGTTTCCCCTCTCTGCTGTAATTGAGTTAACACCTGTATACGGGCACTGACATGCACACACTTGTGCACACTACATACACAGGCGCCCAACCATGACATTGTCACTGATTGGATCAGAGACGCTCAGCTGATCGATGTACTACTGTACATGTGATGGTAGACCTACCCACCTCACACGGACACTGACACAGTCCCTCCCGCGGCCCGGTGGTACAGTACTTGTGTTGCTGGGTGTCAATACTTGTAAACATGTTTTTCTGGCTGACCATGTAGCACCGGTCTGTACTGCTTGAACAGCTGTTCACACAAGAATGTGCTCTTAGAATCAATAGAGGTTATGGGGATGATGACTTCATGGGGTGAGTCAGCAGATGTTCTAATGGGCTCCATGTATGCAGCGCGAGTCAATACTGTAGTGCAAGAGTAGTGCAGCGCTATGTCACAACTTTGCCAAAGCATCTCAACTGATGATGAAATCAAAATATTAATAACCTCTATACAATAATCTCTCTTGCACTATATACATCATGTACATGTCATGTACATTGTTACTGCATGTACCTGTACATGTATGTTTGCCACTTTTTTTTATAGTCATGGGCTGCCAGTTGAGTGACTCCTGTTCTTCGATGAAAGGCTTCGTTATCAGTATATTGGGCAGTGGTCATCTTGTAACAACCCAGTCTTATAAAGTAGTTTTTTCTTCAAATTTGGGTGGGGTTAAAATTTACCGTTAATATCAACTAGCTAGTCGGTACTAGTATTTGCCCAGGATGGTCCTTATCATTAGCACGTGATGGATAATAGTACGGTAAAATCCCGCCAGAGCGCCCCGTCTCTCCCATCCGCCCCTCCCTGACTTCTTGTCAGGGAAGTGATTGATTGTATCCTTGTGTGACTCTGTGATGCCACACTGTATACATGTACATGTATGTACTGCAGATGCGTGCTCGACCCCGTTGGAAATGTACGCAACAGTGCCCAGCCTCTTGACCAGGGATCGCACAAACCCTGAGTTTTGACCGGTCTGTACTACTCCTGGCTCTTGACCTTTGGTCGGTGTACGAGATGCACGGACAGTTTTCGTAGGGGGAGTACTTGTGTAACGGATCCCACCGCTGGCACCAATTCTGTAGCGTATCCCACCGCTGGCACCAATTCTGTAACGGGCCGCAGTCTCTCTCGGAGGCAAATGCAGACGGGTCTCAGTGAACACACTGTTAATAATTATTAAACATTAACTCTGACTCTAACTCTAAACTGACATTACTGAAGGTTCTAACTGGCCTTTCTAACTGTACTTCTAACTGGCGTTTCTAACTGGCCTTTCTAACTGTAGTTTCTAACTGGCGTGTAGAGAATTGTGAACAGCAGCTTTTATAGGCAGACAGCATACGTGCTGCAACAGCAATGGTCACGGCAAAGGCTCAGCAGAGAGCAGAAGAAAGGTCAAAGTATGTTGTGTGGGCTACAGTCATTGCACAAGGAATGCCATTTGATTCTATGCAGAAGAAGGAGCTGAATAGCAGTGTGGGCAATGGGCGTAAGAGAGGTGGTTGAAAGTGCAGCAAAAGGTCTAGACTAATATTTCTGAGGTCAATATGAAACATTGAACGCAGTGAGACTAGTTACTATCCATGTCATGGATCTGCTAGCACGGTACAGAGTTGCAAGTGCGGGGTACGGGTGCGGTGTAACACGTGTGACCAATACATTGAAAGTGATTCACGCTGCAGCTGTGTGAGTTACTAGCGTGCCAACGCTACACCTTCCTTCTTTAAACAGAATCACGTCCTCGTGATTAGAGTCCGAGTAGCAGAACACGAAGTGACGAACGCTGATAGAAGATCATGAAGATACGCAGACTAGACTTGGCGAGGAACATTATTTGATAGCCGGACTCCGACAATCGACTGAGATTAGAAGACACTGGAGGCATGCATGGTCGCGTCGGAATAACCTCGACGAAGAAGATAGGCAGAATGGATGACTTGCATATACATGTACAGGTATGTATTCGTGAACAGCCTCGGTTGATATCCGGACGCAATGATGACAACTGACATTGAAGTACTGGCTGGAGCGCAGCAGCAGATCACAGGACTGAGAGGTGGTGCGAACATAATCATTGAACATTATAGGAGATAGCGCATCATACTGGTACAGCGTCAACCGGAATATGGCAAAATAATATCGGAAATGATAACCTTTGAGAGTAGACAGAAGAAATGAACTGATAACAAAATCATAAATAATACCATCACTCCAGGTTCACACGATCTCACGGGGCCAAAGGGGAAAAAATTGTCCTCCAAATAGGACTCACAGCACACTTGCTGTACCACCATGGCGTTTGAGCCATAAAAATAGTTCACAGTTCCAAACTGAACTGGACAAAGGGCACTCTAACACACATTATCCCAGGTTAGCTAGATAGACCGTGGCTCACCATGATCGGACGCCTACCTAACTAAACTGGATTCACACACTCGCATAAAGGAAGACTGAAAAGAACAGGAAGACTGAAGGAAGACAGGAAAGAAAAGTGCCATATCGGGAATTAGCTTACATTGGACATGGAGCTTGATCAGTAGAGACGCTGTCCGTCATCATTTCGGGCTTGGGGGAGACGTGGCGGGCGAAGGAGTAGCGGCGACTGGCGCATCAGGTTGGGCCATGCTGGTACCGGTTACACCAATAAAACAATTTACCACTGCCATCAATTCTGTAGCGTCGCTGCCATCAATGCAATACAGATACTAGGTGGGTTCGAATCTAGCAATTATAAAATTGAACCACCGCTGCCATCAATGCACTCCAGTCTCTCCGGAGGCGTGGGTTCGAATCCCACCGCTGCCACCATTTCTGTAACGGATCCCACCGCTGGCACCAATTCTGTAGCGTATCCCACCGCTGGCACCAATTCTGTAACGGGCCGCAGTCTCTCTCGGAGGCAAATGCAGACGGGTCTCAGTGAACACACTGTTAATAATTATTAAACATTAACTCTGACTCTAACTCTAAACTGACATTACTGAAGGTTCTAACTGGCCTTTCTAACTGTACTTCTAACTGGCGTTTCTAACTGGCCTTTCTAACTGTAGTTTCTAACTGGCGTGTAGAGAATTGTGAACAGCAGCTTTTATAGGCAGACAGCATACGTGCTGCAACAGCAATGGTCACGGCAAAGGCTCAGCAGAGAGCAGAAGAAAGGTCAAAGTATGTTGTGTGGGCTACAGTCATTGCACAAGGAATGCCATTTGATTCTATGCAGAAGAAGGAGCTGAATAGCAGTGTGGGCAATGGGCGTAAGAGAGGTGGTTGAAAGTGCAGCAAAAGGTCTAGACTAATATTTCTGAGGTCAATATGAAACATTGAACGCAGTGAGACTAGTTACTATCCATGTCATGGATCTGCTAGCACGGTACAGAGTTGCAAGTGCGGGGTACGGGTGCGGTGTAACACGTGTGACCAATACATTGAAAGTGATTCACGCTGCAGCTGTGTGAGTTACTAGCGTGCCAACGCTACACTTGTTCATGTGGTACCAAGAGTACATAACCCCGGGGCCGGGGGGGTTATGTACTCTTGGTAGTACTGAATGCGGCAAGTAGGACTCGCCCATCCGCCCCTCCCCACCTGAACCTATTCGAAGCATCGAGGAGGTAGGGGCGCTCTGGCGGGATTTCGTACTTGCACTGGAACACTACATGCACTGGAACACTACATGCACTGGAGCACTCCGCGGGACTACAGTCATGTACAGTCATGTACAATCATGTACTGTACAAGCAGAAAATTTCGTCGGTCAATAATTTCGTCCAACTCCAAAGAAAGGGAGTTCGTCCGGTTGTATATTTCGTCCATGGATCATAAGAGTGTATTGAAAAGCTGGACAAATCGACATTAGGCCGGCATTTGATTTAGTCCAAAAGCTCCTTGGACGAAAAAGACGAAGTTAAATTCCAGACGAATATTTCTTCATACAGTACATGCTGTAGATCAAGAGCCTATCACATTATCAGTACACGTGTTAGTATGATGAGCACTGCACTGATGCGCTGCTCTACTACAGTCTGTATCGGCTATAGAGTGACCGGATATGAGAATATATCGGCTACAGTGATATTGGTCCGAAATATCAAAAGCAAAACGTATTTTATCCAGTACAAATATCACTATAACCAATATTATCGGATGTAATGATATATCGGATATTATGATGGCAACAAAGAATCAAAACAGGCATAACACACTACATTATTATCGGCTATAGTGATAACTTTAAAATACATGTTGCAATAATATCAAAGGCCCTATTTTTTACTTTCTTCACGTTGCTTATTTTGATAGTGACACATGTACATGTACATAACAGAACTTTTTTATGGAAATGCGGGCACTGTCAACTATGCAGCATGCTCATTTGCCAAAACGCCATGCTGGAAGTATTTCCTTGCCTTTCATGTGTCGATCGAAAAAAATCGATCGTATCGCATATAGTGATGCATCGGTTATAGTGATAAATCACGGAAATCAAAAGGGTATGCTATAGCCGATACAGACTGTACTACTGTAGTACCAAGAGTTCATGGGGGTTATGAACTCTTGCTAGTACATAGTCACTGTACAGATATTGGGTGTAATACAGGTCAGACCTCGCTATAACGACCCTCGCTATAACATACCCCTCCCCCCCCCCCCCCCCCCCCACTATACGTACGAAATGCAAATGTCCCTGCCGAAACCACATCACTGGTCACTTACATCCCGGATCAGAGTGGATCATTATCGCTACAGCCTACAGGTGTAATCAGTAAGCAAAGCCAAACTAACTTGAAAGAGTTTCATTTTGACATCCATGTTGCATATCGGTGTGCACTTCAACATAAACCTCACTAGAACATAAAAAATTGCCATACCGCAGAGATTGCGTTAGCGATCTCACAATCATACGAGGAGAATCTCGATGACGTCGTTGAATCGGTGACAAAGACTGCGACCGGCACCAGTACAGTAGAGCAGCAGGAACGAAGAGAAAGAGAAAGCCCTTCCAGCCAACGACGCCAGAGGATGTAGCAGAGCGCAGCGTGAAAGTATTCGTACTCGTTCGGTTGAGCTTATCGAACGAACATTCGAATACAGTGTATTCGGAATATTCGTTTCACCCCTACAAAATGCCGGTACCGGTAATATTTTACCACTCCCTGCTATCTGACCCTTGCCTTGGCCTTGCAGGAGGTGGATCATGCCATGGAGTCTAGTAAGTAGTAGATCTACTAGTACTAGTAGTAGGTGCGCGGACTGGTACCATGGGCATGGTAGATCTACATGGTGTTGCATGGTGACGTGCCATCATGATCATGCCATGCCATTCATGGAGAACACCTGGGTAGACACCATGGCAGGCATGGCATGCACGGACATAAGTCATAATCATTGGTGTTGGTGTACACCAGGGTCTATACGACTCCCTGGTGTACACGGAGTACTTGTGATCATGATAATTATGACTATGAGTGGCATGATCGATAGTCAGCATGCCAGGCAAAGGGCGAAAGGCCCTTGAAAGGGCTGAACTGTGTCTCAATTTTTTTCGTTCCCCCTGGGTCGTACCAAGTAATAGTTTCACCGCGATAGAGCCAGCTGGGGAATGTTTGATTTTTGACCCTTACTGCCTTAGCTTGCGGCCCAGATCTACCCTTTGCAACGCATGGCCTATGGCTAGACCAGTGGCAGTGAATCCCAGCTGTAATCAGTGGAGTTGTGGAAGGATTTAAATTTTAAAAGCACTGTGCTTCATGTGCATCTTGGGACGACACTTACAGTCCATTCAGAAAAAAATGAACTTCTAGCTTTTGGCCATAAATGGGTCAAACGTTGAGTTTTTTTAGAATTTTTTTCTGCAATCCCATATGGAATCCTCTTCCAATTATGTTTCTGAAGTTTTTTTGTCCAAAAAGCAAGCCATAGCAAGAATAGGATTTCGGCCAGGTTTTGCCCCAAAAGCACTGAATTGGGAAAAACCATCAAAATCCAGGCCGTTTGACCCCGCCTGCAACAGTGCCTTCTGCGGTTCGAACCCCAGTTCAGGCACCCTTTTTGGACCCTTTTTCAAATTTCAAGTTCGCAGCACTGCACTGTGTACGATGAAATCACGAAAAATCGCCAAATACGGGAGCTCGCCAGAGCCAGGACCCATCTTTTTATGAATGGACTGTAGGGGATTTAAAGAGACGCTAGGAACAGTTGCTAAGTCAGCATGGATGTCAAAAGTAATATTCCCTGTAGATTATTTCCCTGTTTTCGTTGCTTGGCGCCAATCGACTAAAAGTACAAATTATCGCCCGAAATCTGTCACAAAACCGATGATAATTTGATTTCTTATTCAAGTTTTGGAAAGCCCATACCAGTATGGTCAAAATTTGATGGTGCCAAAGTTTCTCACCGGCCAAAATTTGTTGATTTACGGTATTGGAAAGGCATACTGTAGTGAAATCAGCTGTGCTGTACTTTGCCCTAACACTGCCTTTTCTCTTGGCACCCGTGAGGTACACTTCTGTGACTGGAGAATCCCCCCCCCCCCCCCTCACATACATGAACATGACTGTGTACATGCATATCATGCACATGCATTCAGAAGCATGCATGATCCAATGCGGCACAAGTTACAGGCCTTTCTGTACGAATGTTGCTCTTACCGACATCACTGGGACGGTACAGCTGGAGTCTCGCGGATTTTCTTTGCTATTACTTGACGCAATAACGATAGTATTCCCGGAAATTAAAAAAAGAAATGGAATATTGCCAAGCATCTGCCAGACAATCGTATGCCAAAATAGAGGCGGAAATAATAGCCGGTAGGGTCTTGAAGAGAATATTAGAACACCCACTATTTGGTGTGTGGCCTAGGAAGGGGTATAGGAGGTCAGCAAGTAGTTAGTTTGATGGCGCGCAGGGTTGCAGCAACACGTTGTGCGTCAGTGGCCATGTACGCTCGATCTTGGCAACTGAGATGGAACAGAGAGAGAGAGGGGGGGGGGGGAGGGGAATTCAGCACAGCGCTTGTGTTTTCTTGCTCTTTGAATGGATGTACACATACGCGTGCACACACGCACGCACACACACACACACACACGTGCTGCAAGTAGAGTCAGAGTAATGGCGTATGGAATGGCTTGTTATTCCGCTTTGACATGGTGTACGGTTGTCGCGTGGTGCCCGTTGGCATTGATGCCATTACGGCCATTAGCTGCGTGCCCAGAAGATCCATTGCTCAATGCAGCGTCGGCTGCATCACTCAAACCGTTCTTCTTTTCACTCGACACCGGCACAGCCGGCCTTTTGTTGATGTATGTCATGTAGAAATAGTTTGCGAAAAGAATCATGTAGCTGAGGTACATGGTCGTGGACAGCACAAAGTGCGAGACGTGCATGTCACACGCACCGCCAGTGTACACTTTGTAGTACGCGTACACGTTGACGTACAGGCCGATGAACATCTGCGCAAGCTGGAGCGTGGTGACGCAGATGTTGACGGAGCGCGGCAGCCGCACCAGCCCGGACGCCACTATGCCGTAGTACGTGTACATGACGGAGTGCACGAACAGGTTGACGGTGGAGAACATGCGCCCTGGCCCGATGGGATACACCAGGCTGTACCAGCAGAACCACAGCACGGTGATGTGGTGGTACCAGTGCAAGAAGATCAGCTTCTTTTTCTTCAACACCACAAACACCGTGTCACCAAACTCAAACACCTTGGACAAGGGGAACAGAAAAGACCACGGGCCAATGTCATAAAAATACTGGCTAGAGCAGATCATGTGAGACCAGCGGCCCTCCTTGACGTCTAGAACAAATCCTGGTATCATTCGCGACAGGGCGTATACGCTATACGCCGCCAGGCCTGCATTCCACAACACAAGTGTCCGCCGCAATCGAAACCTCTCCCTGTCTTTCATATAGCGGACACCCAGGAAACACAGAGTCACATAGAGGAACGACGAAGCAAAGATCCACGGCCACATGGTCACAGCCCATTGTTGCGTTGCTGTCACATTGTAGTAATCGAATTCAAGCTGTTGCAAGTACCTATCCCAGGCAAACGGAGACAGGAGCTCCTCCGGTAATGACACTGGTTTCGCCATTGCACCGACCGTTCTTTAGCTTTGGCGTTGATTTATGGTAGCTGGATGTAGTAGCAACGTTACAGTTCAGACAGCAGCGTGTACTTGCTAAGTGCAAGCTAGCTGGTAAGCTCCAACCAGTCTTGCTAACACAACCAGAGCAGTGCACCGTCAGAAAGTAAGTTTACTTCTGACTTCTGTGTACTTGGAGCACACCGTTCAAGGCCAAAGCAGAAAGCGAGCAAGTCGATTCTATCCTTCTGCACCAAGTACGGCAACGGCACCATCACGCCACCAACAAGACTGCACGAGACAAAACACGGGAGCGAGATCACTTTGCATGCACGAGACACGGATCGGGACCGAGATCACTTCGCACGTCCTCGCTGTTATGCGGTGCAAACCGCCAGCCGAGTAAACATCGTAAAGCCTAAATTAAGGGATACAGTACAAGTGGACTAGTTGCCACATCACCCCCACTCAAGAACACTTCCACCTTGGCGCTGTAGTTGTCTTGTAGATCTAGATCGAACATCTAATCGAGCTCATACATACTCATTAGCATTACCGTAAAGTACGAGTACCGTCAGCGCCCAACACTCCACACAAAACTGGCGATCATCACCAGGACAGCTAGCTAGGGAGTATGGCCGATGCCCCAAATGCCCAATACTCAATAGGTGATCAGAGCATTCCTAGCGCACGTCGTGCCTACAACACTGCAGTATCCCAGGTAGTAAAACCTAAAAGCCTAAAACTAAAAACAGGAAAAGTGCTGCACGTGCATTTCCGTGAAGAGGGGCCGAATGCTTTCTACTCGCTCGACTCTAGTACAGCGTAGTCTTTTATTTTCTTCCAGTTCTACTACTACAAGTACACGTCATTGTACTGAGTACTGTACTACTGAGAACTGTCGTGGACATGGAAATCCGGTCGCACGTCTAGCGGCCCCAAGGCGCTGGCCGGCATGGCCATATCATATGCAGCCATACCGTAGCGCTGGCAGTGGTCGCATCGGATCGGATCAACAACAACAGTAACTTAGTAACTTAACTGTTACTGATTTATAGTGCAACGACTCTACTTCAACGCGCTGAGAGCTCCGGCCCCGGTTGACTGGATTTCCATGTCGATATGTCCGCGACAGTACGTAGAGTCGACTACAGTGCTGGCAACTGAAATCCGACCCCATGAGCGGTGGGTTCACATTCTTTGCGATGTGAGCGCATCCGCACCGCTCAGGAGGTCGGATTTCAGTTGCCAGCAAAATCTACTCTGTGCAGTGTACAGTCAGTCAGTCATGTACATGTACAATGTAGTGCCAGTGGCCGGCTGCTGTGTGAGACAGCTTCTCGAGCGCGAGGTCGACGACACGCTGCTTGACACTGGGAGTCGTAAAATACCATACTATAAAACGACTCCCTGCTTTTTTTTTTAAATTTCGGCCAGTCGGCTATCATTTCGTCTTGGGGGTTAGACAAGGGGAAGTAGCCATGTCGGGGCGTGAGCCCGCCTTTCAATGGCAATGTACTACCGGGGAGCCCCTCCCGGTCCCTGCTTTCGAATTTCGAACTGCTCCGTGGACGTGGAGCAAGTAACCATGGTAACAAAAGTTATTGAACTCAAGGGGGGGGGGTGTAAGGGGCTATATCCGGCATTATCGATAATTATTTCAAGTTCACAAAACAAAAAAGTTTACTACCGTACTGGCAATATATGTTGCCGCAGTGAGGCCATGAAGCGTTACATTGGCCCATGTTTGCCGCACGCAGGGCGTTACATGCAAAGTCGCACAGGAGCCGTTACACAGGTTTCTATATTGCCGCAGTCCTTTTTTTGCTATTGCCGCATCACTTTTTTGCTATTGCCGCATCATTTTTTTGCTTTTGCCGCATCATTTTTTCTTGTGCAGTGCAAACTGCAATGAAAAGATCGCCGCACCCCGCCGGACGCGCGTTACGAACTCAACGAAAATTTGTCGCACTAGCCTGGTCGCGCGTTACGCCGCACCCCCCTGCGTTACGCGTTACGCGGCAACATATATTGCCAGTACGGTAGTACATGTAGTTAGGAACTTAGCCAGTTAGGGCCCCCACCCACCTAGTACATGTACATGTACAGTAGTCTCTCTTTAAAGGGGAAGTTACAGGGGAAGTTAAGGCAAAAATTAAAATTTCACCAGTTGTAGTCTTCGGGGTGCTGAGTCAAATGGTCTTGGTCCGAGAAAGCTGAGACGCTCCCTTCCTACTTGCATCGCAGCCTTTTCGGACCAAAACCAATCGACTCAGCGTCCAAAAGAGTACAACATATGGGCCAATCGCGGTCATCCGTGCTTTTATAAGAACGAAATGGCGCTTTTAGTGACATTTTGCATACAAATCCCCATCTAGTAGGGCGCAGTCACCCAATTTCGGTGGAAGTGCGCGAGTTCGATTGGGATTCAAGTAGGAAGGGAGCGTCTCAGCTTCCTCGGACCACGACCATTCGACTCAGCACCCCGAAGACTACAACTGGTGAAATTTTAATTTTTCCCTTAACTTCCCCTACATGATCCGACTGTTCTCTTTTGCCAGTTTGGCAGTCGGCACTTTATAAACCAGCACCCTCGATAATAGCCATTGGCGGACTATGCTCGGCCAATCGTCAAATTATGCTTTTGATTATGCCACAATTATGCCAACAAATATACTGAATTATGCTGAGTTATGCTCGGTTCAACTATGTATTCACGCTGTACATACATGTAGAGGATTGAGAAACCACGCATACACACACGCGGCCCCAGGGCTTTCTGACAAAGCTGTAGTATGCCCTAAGCATATTTTTTGTCTAAACCGAAAGATTATGCCGACCTTACACGTTGGAATCCGTATATTATGCCGGAGCATATTTTTTTGACAAAGCTGTATTATGCCCTAAGCATAATTTTTGTCTAAACCGAAAGATTTATGCCGACCTTATGCGTTGGAATCCGTATGTTATGCCGGAGGTCAACGCTGTATTATGCCCTAAGCATAATTTTTGTCTAAACCGAAAGATTATGCCGACCTTACACGTTGGAATCCTTATATTACATGTATGCCGGAGCATAATTTTTTGACGAAATCCCAAGATTATGCCAAATATTATGCCAGCATAATCCGCCAAGGGCTACTCGATAAACCAGCACAATTTTCAGCAGCCAAAATGTCCTCTTGATGCACATTGTAGCAGTAAATCCGATTTGTTAATCCAGCACCCTCCCTAATCCAGCAGAACTTTCGTGGCACAAATGATGCCGGATTCGGATTATAGAGGGACCACTGTACATGTACAATATACATGTAGATTTTATGATCGTTTCTTCAGAATTCCCAAACTCCATTGCAGCGTATTTCTTGCACTTGAAAATACCGCCATTCCGGCAACAGGCTCTCAGCTGCACAATGGGCGAAATATTGGCAAAGTTATTTATTATCTATTTGGTGCCGCTGAGAGCCTGTTGCCGGAATGGCCGCCGGGTACACTGTAAATTCAAGATGTTATGATCATGATGAAAAACAGATACATGTACAAAATTAATTAATGTAGGTTCCTGGCTGTCCAACAGAGTGCTCAATACCGAAAGGCAGAGCTAGTTCAAACAATAATAAGAGGGTGAACAAGTTTCTTTTTTAACTCGGAGTTTCACGCACTAAGCAAGCAACAGAAAACAGTAGTGAATAACTTGGATACTGGTTTATATACCCACAAAGCAAAAGTGTAAATGACAGCAATTGTGGAAGATTGCATCATGGTATGAAAGGTGTGCAGTGGTGAAATATATTACTTCAAGTGGCATGCACTGGAGCATGGTTGTCTGCTACTTGATTAGGTGGTGCCTGTGGATGGTGTGAAGTTCAGAAGGTAGTACTTTGAAGTACTTATTCCTTGTGGCGACACTTTGACACAAGAGTGTGCTTGGCTGTTTGCGCGATTGCTAATTTTTCCGCCGGGCATAAGTTGCACCTTTTGCTTTTGCCTGTTGCCGTAGGCCACTGCTTTGCGGTGGACTGCCCATTGAATGCTGCATGACTTCCCTGCATGCCTTCCCTTCATCCTTCCTGGCTCAGACGTACTGCTGCATGACTTCCCTGCATGCCTTCCCTTCATCCTTCCTGGCTCAGACGTACTGCGATAGGCGGGTGCCCTTCTAGTGTTGTCCTTGGTGGAATGATGATTGGTGGTTATAGTTTTGTTGTTTGAATGTTGTTGCTGTTAATCCAGTATATACATTCTTTTCTGTACTTGTGGTGACTCTTGCCTTACGCACGATGCTCTCCGTTAGAGACGCTCCGTCCAGTGGACATAATTCTTTCTTCCGACAGTTACGGGTCCTGATGTCGTTGTTATCTCTGTTGGCTTGTTTCTTGGGTTGCTTGATGGTGTCGAGTATTGTGTTGCTTGATGATGGTGACCATACTCTGCATGCAGCTATAACTAACTTTTGCAGAGTTACGGTTGAAGATTTTGTGGAGACTTGAGCCGTTAGGGCAGTGTTTGGCCACTAGCTGGAGGAAGCGATGCCCGACGTCGGTGGCCACGTTCTTGCCGAACGGTGGATTATATCATATGACGTTCCGGTGACGATTGCTTTTCTTCTTTCTTATCTGGTCCGTTTTACGCTCGTCAAAGTACTGTACGCTCTCCCGGTATGCACTCTATCTGAGTGTGTCACTGTAGATCGGAGTCGCCCCTCTGAATACGTCCTCATCGTTGTAAATATCTGTTAGTCTTCTGCTGATCGATGCAGGCAAGTTCTGGATGATTGTAGGTGGATGGTTTGACTGGTAGTTGATATACATCAGCTTGTCGTTCGGTTTCCGGTAAGGGCAGTACTTTCCGGTGGTCAGGTCCAATGGCACATCCAGGAAGTCCAGGACTCTCTTCAGGTTGTCTGTATCATTATTTTCAATCCAAGGTTCTGGAATATCTCTTTTCTTATTCGGTCAGCTTCATGTCCTGATGCATTCCTGACCACAGCCAGACCGTCGTCACGATACAACCCGACGTCTCTGCCGTTGAACACGTCCCCTATCATGGCGAGGGCAAAGGCTCCAACAAGCTCACACACTTCTTGACAATGGGGTGCTATGATGGAGCTGAAGTGTGTGAGCTTGTTGGAGCCTTTGCCCTCGCTATGATAGGTGACGTGTCCAACGGCAGAGATGTCGGATTGTATCATGACGAAGGTCTGGCTGTGTTCAGGATTGCGTCTGACCGAATAAGAAAAGAGGTGAGGAAGATATTCCAGAACCTCGGACTGAATGATACAGACAACCTGAAGAGAGTCCTGGACTTCCTGGATGTGACATTGGACCTGACCACCGGAAAGTCCTGTCCTTACCGGATACCAGTTAAACCATCAACCTACAATCATCCAGAACTTGCGAGCATCGATCAACAGAAGACTAACAGATATTTACAACGATGAGGACGTGTTCAGAGGGGCGACTCCGATCTACAGTGACACACTCAGATTGAGAGCATACCGGGAGAACGTACAGTACTTTGACGAGTGTAAAACGGACCAGATAAGAAAGAAGAAAAGGAATCTTCACCGGAACATATGGTATAATCCACCGTTCGGCAAGAACGTCGCCACTGACGTCGGGCATCGCTTCCTCCAGTTAGTGGCCAAACACTGCCCTAACGGCTCAAGTCTCCACAAAATCTTCAACCGTAACTCTGCAAAAGTTAGTTATA